GTTTTAGAGGAGTCACATTGTTATTGTAAGCCTATTAGAAACTCCTAGATGAAACTCATGAAGACCAAAACTTCTGATGTGATCTGAGAAAGCTGTTTGTAAGTGTAAATAAACCATCCCGTTAATTCGAAAACTCTGATGTTAGTGATGTTCAGAACAGATAAAATGTCAATAAATGAGTGGGTTGGGCAGCAGTTTTTTGCATGGTTTATGCAGAAATATCGAAAAACATTACCTCATACCTATGATTTTTAACTTGAGATTCTGAAGCTATTTGAAGATTTTCCATTGCTTCATTCTTGTCTTCCTCAGTTGGAGAAATTATCATATCTTCGAAATAATGTTCCTGTATGGTAAGATTATCACTAAATAATTATACGATTTCTGATTTACGCTTCTTACATACGAAAAAGATATTGTTTGCTGCACAACAATGCGATCTATAGATGACTGATTCTCGGTCGGAAATTTTTCATCTCATATTTTCATATTAAACTATTATTGTTACGAGAAAACAGTACCTCCTAAACACTTGAAAAATTGACAGTACTTCGCAAACAACGCAATTTTTTGTGAATTTTCATTATCTCTCATAATGTCGACATATTTGTTCAAGAAATAACATTCAAAAAGTAGAATGATTATATTCTGCCTCAACTAATGTGATATCGTCTTTTCTCGCTCCTGTGAGAATTGCATTTGGTCACTGCAGTGCAGTTTGACCCTCGATAATGTACTTTCAATTTCAAAAAATAAGCCTTATATACCTATATCAAATGATTACTTTCGCGTCACATTCTATGGGGGTCAAGTGACATTTTGAATGAACAAATAATTTCTACATGTTTTTCAAACCTCATCAGCTCATTATCTATACAAAAATGTTTATGCAATCATCTAAGAATGTTGAAATAAACTTTATTATCTACAGACTACATAGTTTATGTTCCGATATTTCACGGTAGCCTAGTAGCTATTTGAAACTTGAAAGTAATCGCAACAAATAAAATATTGGTATCAATTTTCTTTGTCGAAACAACAATTTTTATTATCAGTAAATCAAGGGCAAGAAACATTTAGGCATCTATCATATAACGTATGTTTGCACAGCACAATGATGTAATAAAGTGTTTATTGTGTTTTCATCAGATTCGTTTTTAGCATGCGATATACCGAATCAAAACTAAATCGCCAACGTACTTTGGATAATGGACACTATACAATTCCGTGATAGGTGGTTTGGATCACACCACTGGTAGCGGTCAATCAAGTCAGAACGGTGAAGGATTTCAGCAACCTCTTTTGAAAATGTAGCGCGAGTTTGTGATTTTTGTTGTTAGAAAGAAGAATTCTTATCGCAGGTGAGTGTTCTTCAAAACTCATAGAAGAGCTGCACAAAAACATTCTCTGGGGCGTGTTTATCAAGGGGTGCAAGGTAACCAGACATTTTTTGGGGTTCAAGGTCAAATGCCTTCAAATTTGAAAATCAGATTTTTCCCTGGCTAACAATGACTTCATCCCATGATTATGTTATATATTATCAAGGTTCTTGTTCTGATTTTGTTTTAATTGATGAAAAATAATGTGAAAATGAGAACAATAAGAAGAGCAAGTGGAAAGGCGAAAGATTTATTCGCAATGAAGAGAGACCAGAGTGAAAATTTTATATAATAATATTTTCGATATATCTTCATTCCTCTTCTACAAACTTCTTTCAAAACAAGGTCATATCACTGATAATCGATTGAATTTTTCTCTTAGGCTCACTGATTTTAAAACGCAGACATTTTGAAATGATACTCATATTTTTAAAAAAATGAGGACAATCTGGACAAAATAATGTTGAAGTATTGTTACAAAATATTGGTGTTTCTGGCAAAATATAATACTCGACTTCGCGACGGCTATAGTGTCAGAGCCAGAAATATATGAATTATATTATATATATAAAAGATGTTCTTCAATTGTGTGTTCTGATCAGATTTTCTTGCAAAAAAATGTTTCTCATCACCTCGTAATACAAGATATCGGGACTGAAATTAATCTGTAAGTAACTTACTTAAGTCATGTATACCCTTTCCTATATGAACAAAACGTATTGTCGATAATGAAGGACACATAACCCTACGGAGAGATATAAAGCAAATATAAGGTGTTCTCAGTTGAAGCTCATATACATCTTTCCCCTGTATATTTTTAGTGGAAAGCTTTATATAGATGTATTATCTTGCCTTTTCTGGGAATTCTCATGAAAATTAAAGGGTAGGTATTGGTACTCTTTGGCGCATTCTGATATAACAAAAGCAGTTCTACATCAATGATGTATGTTTACAAATCCTTGTGCATTCACAACATTTTATGCTTCTACACGTAGAAGGCTCAGAAATATTAGTTTCCATTTTGTCATGTGACATGTGAATCGATTCCTTGTAACCTACACTTTTCGAACTTTTTCGAAATTGCGTTTATAATACAAAATAGTACCTACCTTTTTGCTATACTTTCAGTCCGAGAAATATCTGGAGACAATTCCGGACCGTCTGTGGTTTATATTGAAATTTCATTTGTCTGATCATATATAAATTGTCTGATATAAAACATTTAACGATTGTTATCGAAATCAATATTTTTTTTTCGTATTTTATCAGTTCTTGTACCTCGGCGATTAATTTCAATGAATATAGACTTTGCAATAATATAATAAGTAGATTAGATTTCCACACATCAGTGGCGGATCCAGGGTATATAGGTTAGGACAAGTGTAAGGAATATAAAAAGTAAAATACGAATACGGACAGTGCTCTGTTAGATACTTCTGGGTGATTCGAAGTAGGATTTTGAAATTTTGCTGGGTAGCAAGTATTTTTTTATCTTTTGGAAAAAAATCCGATAATGGTCGTTTAATGCTGGTTCACCCGGAAGCTTTCAATTCTCAAATAGGACACCCCATATATTTCGACAGTTTGATCGAAGAAGTTTGATGGATGGAATCAGCTCTTCAGGGAGAATATGAAAATGGAATGATATACAGGGTGTTCCTTAGAAAAAATCAAAGTTGTTGCTACTTTTCAATATAAGCGGCAACGTCGCAACGCTGAGAGTATTTTAGGTCGATAGAACACAACTAATTATCCAAGGCACCAGCTTTTCAGAATATCCCTGAGTTGCGTTCTCCAGAAACGTCTAATGTGCCATCCACCGTGAATCACCCTGTATATGTTTTATTTTCCATTTCCGGTTTCACCGGAAGTTATAATACCTTTTGTTCTTCCGTATATCATAGCATTTTCGAATTCTGCATTATTTTCTGAATCCAATGATACCACATAAGTGACATTACAAACTTTATTATTGATTTTAATTTTGTGTTTGATTTTTCATCTGAGTGTGCCATGACTATTTTGATCGAGTCTGATGTACTCATGTCGACAGGTGAAATGCTACAAAATATTGAAATCCTTACAAAAATTTCGAATTTTGTTATGAGAGTATTTTCATGTTTTCGATTAAACACGCTAATATTTTGGCGATGGGTGAAGCCGTTCATGTTAGTATAAACGCAGTTTTGAATTTGGAATTAAAAACAAATTAATTAAATATAGTTTGTGTTCACTATAGTATTCTTATTTTGCTCCTAAACTTCCTAGTATATAATCAGACTGAATCATTTCTCATCCACGTTTTTTAAACGGCTGATACCACTATTCCTACTAGTATTTTCTGTAAATGCGAATTAGGTATCACTATTTAGTATTGGCTGGTGTGAAAAAACATTAATTTTTTCGATTTTTTTTAATGATATTTGGACTAATTATGATTGCATTTAATTTTCATCGCGACACGTTAGGTACCATTATATTTATGAAATTGTCTTTATTTTTTATTTCATTCTGTTGTGATCCATTCTAGAAATTCTCGAGATATTCGAATATAAGTTAGTAGGAACCATAATTATTATTATGCATGTATGAGCACATTTGAAAACATTCATGTCCTAAAATGTTAATCATCAAAATCATTCAAATCTAGCGATTTATATTGTATTTAAATGTATGCGAAATACAATGAATGATCTAATATTCAAAAGATACGGAACCTAAGTTGCTGTTCCCCTCACCAAATGAAATACACACACACACGGTGGTCCAAAATTGTCTGCCGATATTTTTGCTACTGATAGAACATCAAAATAAAAATTTATCACTTTCTATCAACTCATTTCCTGAAATGAATAAAGGGAGTAATGAACCTTTCAAGGAGGGGATGATCAATATCAGCTCTACAAAGTGTAAAGAGTCATAATAATTTTTTTCCACTACTAGCTATATACAGGGTGTCCCATAAGTCATGAATCAAAAGAAGTGTGGTGGTGGTGGGGGGTCATTTCCAATCAAACCATCCGTATATGTGCGATTATCCAATTGATAATGATGGTTAAAAATTCATAAATTTTTTTCATAAAAAAAAATAATTACAATAAAACTTTGTCACATTTTTTATTTTTTCTTCTACAAATTTCATGCACATGGATGCACCTCTGCAAGACGATCAGTGAATTATATTAGCCCCAAATCTCATGATTCATATACACGGTTTTGATTTATAATAATAATTATTTATTATTTACCATTAACAAAAATGAGATTCCTATGTTTTCAGGTCTAAACACTAATACAATGATAATAAGTTCGGAAATAAATGGTGCAATGTTAGGCCAAAGGTCGATTCTTCCACACTGCCCGTGATTAGTCAGGGTGTAACTTATATATATATATAGGTATCAATTTTATATAATAAGTGTTGCCACATAGAATACCACTATCGAAAGTAATTACTTTTCATCCTATTGGTGTTTCTTTTGAATAGATATTTCAGAATCCCTGTAAATTACCACATCCGTGGGATTTTTCATGAAGGTGTGAATTGACACCACTGTAGACGGTATTTTCAAATTTCTAATAATATTGAAATAATATTGCTGATCAAGTGTTGATTCAATCGCAAGATGTTTCAACTGACTTTGGAGAGACACTATACGTGAAATAAGAATTATCAGTGGTCACCCTGTTGATAATCATCATTTCTCCATGTGCTAGAATCGATATACAAAACATTTATCTCGTGGACTATGTATGCATATATAGGTACTTGAAAATCAAGTCCATTGTCAAAACATACCTTTATGCGATAAGTCATAATCATTAATAGGTACCTTTTAAATTTGCAGTCATGGATTTTTGGCACTACGCTGCGGCTTTGACCGTTTTGATAGTTGTACTGTGGAGGATCAGTTCAACAGTCCGGTACTGGATCAAGCTGACAGTGTTCTGCATAGCGAGTATAATATTCGCTTGTGGACCGATTCCATTGATGTTATTGAGGCCCAGAGATAGCCGAAATGCACTGTAAGTTAAAAAACAAAATTTATTTAATTACCTATACATTAGACTTTTTTTCGTACTTTCGAGTAAGGACACTTCCTTTACGAGAGCAATACATTCAACGGACGCACTGTATCGTTACCACCGATACAACAAGGCCTGCATCAGGGCCTGCTCCGTGGGTGGCGTCACTTAGTGAGGCCTAACCAGCGGCTCGAAACGACAAGCGCTTATAGCGCTATAAGGCGACTGCGTATTTCGATTTTAGTTTTAGATCATCATTGAGCCGATTTTGCTGTTTTTTGAAGGGCTTTCGGTTAAAAAAGGATGCCAGTTGTCAACTGAGCCCTTCTTCGCACCCCATTCGATTTTATTATGGAAAAACGAAGTTTTAAAGCAAAAACCAGCATAAAACACAAATATCCACCTACAGCAACCCATTCGAATTAAATATATTGGCAAAAATTGTGGTGAAGGTAAACTTCACACCTACTTATACAGGGCCCGCAGAACATAAACTTATCGTGAGATTGATCGAAAGAAAATTGTGGAAAATGTATTTTATTTTGATTGACATGCCGTTTGTTACAAATACCTATATTCATCTTGGAGAATTCCTATTACCTGAAAAAATAACCAGTGAGTGTTTTCAATTTTCTGTTGTTGGATTCTTCACCCAAGTGGATCGTTACACTTGAAACCGTAATTTTTAAGGGTGAAACTGCATTTATCATGCGATGTTTTTTTTTGTTTAATTTTTTCGGTATTTTTGTCTGATAAACCGAATTTTGTAATGAAAATGTGAACAAACCACTATTTATTGAGATATTTCAAGAAAAAGTTCGAAATTTCGCCTTCTTTCTCCCCTTGTGTTGGGGGCATTTGAAGCTACTTGCTCTTATTTTGTCATTGGACACTTTATATACTCATGATGTACTTCGATGGCACATTTTTATATAGAAAATTCAACAGGAAATATGATTTTTATGGCGAGTTTTTCATATTTAGTGAACAAGCATTCCAGATGACGACCATTTAATCAATAGTCGATCAAAATACGAGATGTCAAATGTCAATAGATTGCTTTCGAATGACATTACACACGCCATTATTTTGAATGATATATTCTTCCTTCTTTTCACTAAATATGGATTAATCTCAAGAAAATCATATTTATAGTTGAATTGAATATAAATTGTCCAATATGATGAAAAAAGAAGGGAAATTTGTTCTAAATGCCATCCAGAAGACAGATGAAAAAGAAGGTGAAATTTGGAAATTTTTAGTCAAATATCTTTATGATAGATATCATGATAAATGCAGTTTTACCTCTTTAAGTAGAGTGTTTGTAGTTCATGTTAATATGATAGTTGCAATTTGATCATTGGAATGAATTCTGCATTCATTGCCACGAGGCAAATGACCGTTTTCAGAAAGAAATTTGAGAATGAGAATTAAAAATGCCCGTTTATTATGAACATTCAAGAAAATTTCCTCGAATTCAGAGATGATTTTGTTGACTATAATATACGAATACAAAACTAACTGCACAATCAAAGCTTTTCTATTTTTTCTCTACTTATACTTTTTATGATCATTATAAATTAAGCTCTGTTTACTACTGAACTTAGATGGAATAAAATCCTCGCGGTGAATTGCAATTGCATTTTCGATAGCTCCTCGTCCAACGGGAAACAAAAAGCATGAACTTTTGAACCACCCACATAATTCCCCCGACAAAAAAGAACACAACACTTGAAAGGCATTGTTATTTCGCCGATCACAACACAAAATATTTCACAAAACACTAATTTTTCCGCCAATTATTTTGATGAATAAACAACAAAAGAATTCGGGACCGTTTCAAAAACATACGTGAATCTCCGATGAATTTACACGAACTGACGCCTTAGTCGACAAGCGATAAAATCAAACACTGGCCTCTCTTGGTGACGTCACGAGCTGTTCACGTCAGAGTCTGCTGGCCTTGTTGTATCGGTGGTAACGACTGTATACAAACCCTATATACATAGGAAGACAACTTCCCAAGGAGATTCCAAAAATTGAATAATATATAGGGTGTTCTATTTGAAAACATTGTTGCGGACGTCATTACACAAACGTGGATCACCATGTATATCTAGTATAAGATTCTACATGGAGGCATCGTAGATAGACACAATTTCAACACTCAAACACATTTTTATTCACTCAGGACGGCTTGTACAAAGATGACCGTTTTTAAAAATATAACATCGACAAGTGATTCGTTCTGATGCTACGATGCTAATGACTAAACCTGCTTCAATCTTCGATCACACGATGATTACGAATACCGATGACACCCGATGAGTCGTCGAGGCCGCTTGTGATAAGGCATTCCTCAGGCATTCTTCTCAATTACGGGGTGATTTGAATATCGTCGCTAACACTAGTTTTCTCTCATAAATGCGGCAAATTGAGATTGAAAATCGATCTGTTTCTGGAGATTTCTCGGAAATAGATAGTTTGACATAAAATTGAATTGAGTCAGTACCTACTTTACGAAAACACTGCATACAGGGTGGTCCAACGAAAACTTTCACCCTGATTTTAGGGCTTTAAAATGACGCTCGGACCCGTTGATTTCTGATTCAAGGGGAAACGACTTGTCTGCTTTTTTCATTTCCCCCTACTACCGGGGGACGAAGAAGTCCCGGATTTTTAATAGGTTGGTGTTGCGATACCTCATTTATGATTTCATCGAGTACCATACAGGGTGATTCTGCAGATGAAAATATGAAAAAAATGTTTATATCAACATGGTTCCGAAAATGTTTCCTAACCGCGATGGAGCCCTGGAGATAGAGAGATTTTATGAACAAATCAACATCACGATATTTTTTTTATGGCAATAACACAAGATTGCTCTTGTTTTACTGTGTTCGATATAAAAATGAGGTACTTTATATGTTATCAATTCTATTTCCATATCTGATATCACAATGACTCCATTGTTTTAATATTTCAAAAAAAAACTCATCACCCATGGAATGTCAAATTTCAAGCAATGACAGCTCTGATGTCTGATAGATGAGCATCACTTGACAATTCATCAGATGCCTACAAGACGAAGAAATCGAAAATGACGTAGAAAAATTATAGTGTACAACTTGCACGGAATGCTGATTTCCTAAAGTCAAATTCAAAGAGTTTGTGGACGCGCTATCTGCTCGATTTACCTCAGTTCATCGTTAATATTCAACAGTCGATTTGACACGGTTGAAACGCTGTTAAATATTCACGATGAACTGAGGTAAATCGAACTGTTAGTGCGTCCACAAACTTTTTTGTGACAAATCATCATATGTAATACCACAAGTGATACTATTTTGCCGGAAATATTTGACGATTGTTACGACAACAGCTTGTTGCCTAATAATTTCGCGAAAGACATTGTTAGTCAAAACTTCCGAGCCGTAGACGAGAAGTTCTGAATCAATGTCATGAGCAGAATTAAAGCAGCAAGCTGGAGTATGTTCATCGATGAACTCTCGCGAGAGTTGCGCACACTACATTCATCATTCTGGCTTTCAACATAATTGACGTTATAAACGTCAAAAATTTCATCGCTGAAAAACGAGGTTGGTTGGTTACATGTGGGTCAATTCGACTTCTGTATCGGTAGAGCAAATCTAATAAATTTTAGTACACAAAAAATATCGCTGGAATACAGGAGAATCCGTGAAACGGCCGATTCTAATTGGTTCTCGAGAACACGAGTGGAATAAATAAATACTTTTCGAATCCTAGTTTAATAAGAATAATATTTTCGACGTAAATGCGACTGCCTCTTCCACTATTGTATCTCTCATTCCGTTATAGATGGAAATATTTCGACTCGAAATCAGAGGGTCGGATGGTAGGTACTCGATGAAATCTTCAAAATAGGATATCACAACACCCCTAATCCCTATTCAAAATCCGGGGACTGTGTTTCCCCCTGATAGGAAGTTGAATTTACGGGGATGAAAAGTGCAGACAAGTCGTTCCTCCTCGAATTATAAATCGACGGGTCCTAGAGTTTCTCCGGATTTTCATTTGAAAGCCCTAAAATTGGGGTGTACAGTTTTTGTTGGACCACCGCGTACATTGAAATTGAATATTTCCAGGATTCCTGCCGCTTTGTTGAGGTCTTTTGGAAAACTATTAGGATTGGAATATACAATTGATGGACATGAAAATATAATCAGAGACAGTGGATGTGTTGTCTTGATCAACCATCAAAGTTTGATCGATCTCATGAGTAAGTATCGTTTTCTATCATTTTACAGATCTTAAAAGGAAGTTTACAGTAAAAATGTTCAGACTAGTCAATTTATATCTTCCAAAATGCTTTTATCATAATCATTTTCAACACCATATATACATGTAGCAGCTATTTCAAATCCTAGTGTTAGTATGGGTTTACTAGGTGATCAGAATAACATTAATCGATTTCATTTTCGGAATTGCTATTCAATTTTTGAGGTGAAAATGTCCTATCAAAGAATGTCCTGAAATGCATTTTGTCTGAAATGAAGGGTGTCAAGTGTACGAAAAAAATCATGATTTGAATTGTTTCCTTGAGAACGCCTGTATATATACTACCTGAACTTATTTAGGTAAGAAAATCTCCCCGTCGGTTGTATTTTGGGCTGTACGTGATAGGCACTGTCGGTTGAAAGGACATCTTAGGAAGCTCGGCTTAGAAGAGGTATAAGAATAAGAGGAGGAAACCTCTAACCACATACTCACGGAATGTGTAACCCTACAGAACCAAAGAACAAGAATCCTAGGAGCACACATTATAGAGGAGGATGAGCTACCTTACCTGGAACCACCTCATATTTTCGAATTTCTGAGGGCATATAGGATTATAGTAATTGCTATACCTAACTATACTTACAGAGAATAACCTCATTAGAAGAAGTGATCTTGATCGCAGTGTATTTACCACTTATGCATACATTACAATACGTTGACAGGAACATTTTAACTCAAAATGAAGAAAGCAGTCAAAGAACATTTATAGGATGTCGGTCTCATTCTAAATCACCATTTATGTCTATATATCAGCTGAATACTATATTGAATAACAAAAATATTGATGTGAGCATTACTATATTGTATTTTTCAGTTCTTGCTTACCTATGGCCTCTATTACCAAACTCGACTGTGATTGCCAAGAAAGAGATATTTTACGTTCAGCCTTTTGGACTGGCTTCATGGTTATGGGGCACAATTTTCATTAACAGGGTTAAACCACAAGATGCACAAAAAGCAATCAATAAAACTGGGGAAACAATTAGAACTCGAAAGGTAAATTACATACCTACCTATATTATCTGTATAGGTTAATCAAGGAGGTGGAATATTCAATTTCCTGAAGTTTTGGGATTTTTCTCTTCGCGTCTTTATAAATACCCAGCAAACAATTTTTCTTGGACTGATAGTGGCCCAGAATATGCAGGCCAGAATTGGGCAGAATGGGGGGTGAAATGAGGGTTAGAAGTATTTTACATGGAGGGGCACTTGATAATTTGATTTTTCAATTGAAACTGGGAATATAATCATACTCTATTTGGCACGGTGCCGACGGCTAGATCATAGTTAAACGATTTCAATTTATCATATATAATGGAATGAGAAGACGATTGTATGACGTATGTAAAAACATAATACAAATTGACACTATTGATCCAGTGCTGGCTAAATTATGAGCAAACGATTACATTATGCCATACAATAGGCCAACGTTTGACCGGTGCAGCTTAGCAATGGCCAGCAATCTGCCGATCTATCATGTACTGGGTCAGAATAAGGCGGCAATCAGAGATTTGATGTTTGCTAAGTAGGTAAAGATATTAGTACTATTTCAAGGAGTAATCAGATCAGATGATTTGTCTCAGAATGGCACTACACTTGAAATTCTAACATCAGAAACCTGAAAGAAAATTCAATTGATCATCATCAGTGGCACCTTGTTCGAAACTAAGAGGTTCACACTGTTCATTTATCTTGGTACGTTTCGAAACCAAAGCTGCTTTAGTATTCAACATAAAAATTTACAAATTGATACTCTCTATCGACAGCATTCTCATCTGAAATATAATACGTTTTTATTGGTGATGAGTTCCAAGTGAAAACTATGTTCGAGAATGATAAAAATACAATGAGATCGGTACCTCTTCATGTTTCTTATAGTGAAATTTCAAACGCAGTGACATGTTGGAATATTGAAATATCTTCACCTATTTGTCAAGACCAGAAATGAAAAATTAAAAAATTAAATTATTGAATATTCCACCTCCTTGGTTATCCTATTTATCCTTATTAGAAGTACGATCTCCATTGAGATAACACTAATTTACTAATTTGGGAATAGAGATAGGTATATCAAATTTCGTGAGGTAGATGATGCAAAAAAAATTGAAATTCAATTTTCAGGCTCGAGTTCTTATGTTTCCCGAAGGAACAAGACACAATGGCAGAACCCTTCTCCCATTCAAAAAGGGAGCCTTCCATTTGGCAGTAGCATCCCAGTGCCCAATTCAGCCTGTCGCTGTTTCGAGGTATTCCTTTTTGAGGAAAAACCAGTTTGACGGAGGTGAGTATATAGGTACCTACTTGAGTAGATATCTCTAACACCAAAGATGCTTTCATTCTCGAAGGGTTTAGGAAGTTACAACGTGTAAGTAGAAAAACATATGAATCCAATGTGTTTTCTCTATGTGTATTTAGAATAAAATATTATATATATATTATAGTTTTTTTTGTTGTTGTTTTTTGGTGTATGATTAATTGATATTCATCATACAGGACGTGGATATCGGATATCAAATCCTCATCAGTAACCTGAAGTCCAGTTATTCTTTCAGCCTTTGTTCATGAGGTACACAATTTCCATCTGAGAATTATTTTTTTTATAGCTTGGAGCGCACAAAGCAATGATTTTTTGACATTCTGCTGTCATCTGTGCATTTGTGGAAAATATGAAAAAATGGTGGAGGTATCAGGCACCAGATATATTTCTTTGGCGAACTAGGGGCCAGGGGGTTGCCTAGGGCCAGAGGGTCGCCTAGGGCTAGGGGGCTCAAAATGGGGCTAGTGAAGAAAAAAAATAGTGAATTTGTTTCGCTTAACCCTCGCACTTTAAACTGTGTGCTGATTTGTGGCCCAATAGCCAGAGGTATGGTCATAACGGATACCTACTTTTGAATTTTGGAACAACTTATCCTTTAAGGACGACTCTTAGTTGAAAAATAAAACTATTCGAATCATCAGAAGAAGTGAATCTTGATTTATAATATCAATTTTTGTGACTAAAGCTCATTCAATCAATCTGTAGGTACCGTGCCATATTTTTTTATATTCAAAATTTTTTTAACCCATCTTTTTCGTAAGTGAAAAGTTATACCTATAGTTTTGAGGATTTATGGTATTTTTTAAGTACAAGAAATGGTTTGAAATATGCATTGGGCTATTGAGCAAAACAATCGTTTCATAATAATATGTGACACATACATCAAGAGGTGATAATCCGGTTATCTCGAAAAGATGAGAGATGAATAATCAGTTTCGTTGAATTTCTAGAGATAGAGTGTTTGCAGATTAAGGAACATAGGACGTGATGAATAAAATGTTTGAAATTTTGTGACCATGATAGATACAATTATTGTTTTCGCGTTGTTCTTCCATAAGGAGCTTGTTCTTTACAAAATCCAAAGTAATTCTAGCCGAAATTTGACTGAAGAGTACATCAAATGCAGTAACAACTGGCTGATGATTCATTGAATGTCTCCTTGCCTGTAAACTGTGAACTTCGCAGTTTTTATCTGCAGTTGTATCTGGGTGGCCATACCAGTCTTCTCATATGTGGACTTCAGGGTCTCCATCATATCCTTGGCACTTTTCTTGTCCCTAACCATTTCTAAGACGTTATCAGCAAGGCACTGAACGATTAGGTTTAGCCTTAACATCCGCTTCATTGAAGGTTGTCAGTTCTGTAGCATCAGTTGGAGGGCTTCTCTCCAAGACATCCAAGACTTCTCTCTGCACCAAAATAAGCATTAGCCGATATTCCCAGGTAGAAGAACCTGTACCATTCAAAGCAGATTTTTCCATGGCTGTCTCCATGCTTCCAACACTACTACACTCTACTGAACGACTACACTATGAACTGATTTACTCAAGCACAATCAAAGTATCTGATGGGCCCATAACCTATTGTTATTTCAGATTTGCAGTGGTTTTCAGCTTAGTAAAACCCAGTTCTCAGAAAACTCCGTTTAATAAATTAATATCTAGTAGCGTTGCTTTTATGATATTACTTTATCAAACGGAGTTATCTGAAAACTGGGTTTTACTAAGCTAAAAACCACTGCAAATCTGAAATAATAATAACTATTTGGGGATAATGATATATGCCAGTCATATAATAGACCAATTTTTGCGATCACGATTAGTCATAAGATATGTCATTAATATTTTCAACTTTATCGATATGTATATCGCAAACGAAACCTTCTACCTCATATTATGTTTTAGAAACGTGTCTCTTTCTCATTTTTTGGATTTATTCTATATTTATTATTCATTATTATTCCCAGCATTTAGGTATAATGTTTTCCTTTTCATTTTCAGGTCACGTCAAAATACGAATACTTCCTGCCATCTCAACAAAAGGATGCACCTCCGAAGATATACCAAGGATTATAGATGAAACCTATAAAGTATTGTCCGAAAATGTAGATCAGCTGTCAAGAGAGAGACAACAGAATGGTGTCGTCAATGGGGAGCCGAAGTCAGGCTAAATTATAATAATGGACTGCCAATTAGGTGAAATTGTATATATGTAGAATAAATCAATGTTGTATTTATAGGAAATTATTCTTGAAAATATATGTCTTTATATGTTTCTCCCAATATTTATGTCTTCCCCATCCGTTTCACGAATCATCATGGTGGGAATCCAAAGAAGGTGGCATGGTGGAAATTGGGCATCGTGGGAATGTATGAAAATTGGGCATGGTGGGAATCCAAGAAAGGTGGGCATAGTGGGAATTGGGCATCATAGGTGGCCTTAAGTTTTCAGACAACAAATGATTTTTTTTTTCGAAAATTGGAATGATTTCACCTACTTTCAAACAACTTGGGGAAGTACCTGTAAGTAATGAATGAAAAATTCACTAGGTAAGTGAGTGGTTTAATAATAGAATGAATTATCTTTCTAACTATATATATGAACATGGGTATATCGTCAGACCCAGACGAACATTTATTCTTTATCCTCCGTGTAAGGGGTAAGGGGTAAGGAAAAATGGATTATATCCTCTGTTATTGATTTACAATCTAGTGAACCATTTTCATTCTTGAATTTGAAAGGTTTTCTATTATATTTTTGGAGCATCTGGAGAATTTTATCCTGGTAATGTAGGTACCCTTTTTTTACTGTGGTACTGTAGCCGGTAATCGGTTCAAAAACAGGACTATACTTTTACACAATAAATTATGATCTTTCTGGCAGATCAAGTACAACTTGATTTCTGATGACCTCATCGCATTATTAACCCATTTTTTGTCTGGTGTGCGTCTACTATAATAATTTTCTTTCTGGAAAGTAAAGATTAATATAATGTAATATTATCGAGTGAAAATACTGAAAAGGTAAATTCAAATCTTCTGTTTCCTGTATTTTAAAGAGGCACATATAACTATTGTAGATACCAACGAGTATCATGTTCGGTTATTTCTCTGAAGGAAAACAAAAACAAGAGCGAATAAGGCAATTAAAGCGGTCAATTCAATTATTATCTCAATTAAATATCGTCATCATTTCAAATCAAGAGGGCGTCGTACTCATACTCTGTATGATCTAAGCTCATTCATACTAATCTACCCGTAGATAAAGGTTAAAAACAATAGAAAACAAGACAAAGCGTTCGGCATTAGGCAACCAATATCACTACAACAGTAATCGAGTCTCCAGTCTACGTGCATTGTTTATTATTGTTACTCGGTGTATGAACAAAAAATGCCTTACTAACCCAAATTAGAACTACTCCATCCAGTCAGTTACGAACCATTCAGATGTCTATACTCTATACCCATTACCCAAACCAATTATCAGGCTTCGGTATATATTATAGATACATGATATCAATATCAATATACTCCCAGGATTGTTCTCTTATCTGATGTGAAACTGAGAACACAGCATACAATGTGAGTCACATCCCAAGTTCGAGTGAATCTAGTCATCAGTGTGCGTCTACAGACCACCAACAAGTGATACAAATAGTGATTAATCTCCCGTTTTTTGTGAATGTGCCTGATCCTGTGCTAGAGCAACAAGTGGAAAGTGCCAAAATGACCGGTAATACCGGTATGGAACAACTGATTCCTATTGTAAACAAATTGCAGGATGCATTCGGCCAATTGGGAGTTCACTTGACTTTAGACTTGCCGCAGATTGCTGTGGTGGGGGGTCAATCTGCAGGCAAAAGTTCTGTTTTGGAAAATTTCGTCGGCAGGTAGGCCTTTTCGAACATTTTAAATTTTTAACTAAAGATTTTAACGGGTTTCCATCGTTTGTGAGATCATGCAAATAAATAGTTGGTTTATAACATCAGGAATTCAAGTCAACCTTCGGCTCACCTCGGCCTACCAGTCACGTTCTATTAAATATATTGTAATAATTGTTTTCATTATTTTGCGCACCTGGAAAACAACTCGAGAAACATTATGATTAGCTGTAAGTAATACAAACTTATCTGATGATGGTATTACCCGAGATTATACCAATACTTGTTCATTTATTGATCGATAAAGTGAATGGAATTAGAGTTTTTTCAATAATAAAATTGAACAATTTTTTGAACCTCATATATTATTCTGCCAATTATTGCAATATTATTGTGTAGGTATCCTGTCCAACAATTCTATCTATTAGACAAAACTTGAGACAAAAATGCTCGCGCACAAAAACGCGAATATAGATACAACAATAAAGAAATACCTTCTATTTTACCCCTGATATAATTCCAAATGATACATTGGACATTATATCTAACCTGAAAAATACGAACTCAGTAGGGGTAGATTGCATTTCCACAAAAATCATCAAAATTATCAGGAACTTCATTTGCGAACCACTGGCATCGTTGATAAATTCTTCTATTGAAAAGGGGAACAAACTAAAAGTTGGGTCAATAATACCAATTTTAAACAAAGGTGAGTCAACATTAATTGAGAACTACAGACCTGTAACAGTTGTGTTATGTTAAATGTTTGAGAGATGTGTTTATCAGAAGATGCTAGCGTTTCTCGATCAATTCGATAACGATATCATATCTGAATTTCAACATGGATTCCGCCCAGATAGGTCAACGGAAAGTGCATTCTGCAGCTTTTTCAAGTATGTTTATGACTCACTTGACAAAAGACGATACGTTGGTGCACTTTTCTTCGATTTGTCGAAGGCATTTGACATCATCGACCCCGGTATTATTTGCAAAAAACTATATTCCCTTGGTTTTCGAGGTACTTTCAATTCGTGGCTTGAGTCGTATTTGACTTCTAGGAAAATACAGGTGAAAGTTGATGAATGTCGATCACAGTTGTATGATATGGACTTAGGGGTTCCTCAGGGGTCTATATATTGGGTCCCCTAATCTTTCTCCTTTTTATTAATGATATGCCAAATCATATTAGCACAGATTATCTAGTTCTGTATGCTGATGATACTACGCTTGCCGCGGATGCCGCTATCCCAGAGGAACTTCAAGAAAAATTGAATTTGCTAAGTTTGGAGTTCACACGCTGGTGTATAAAGAATTGTTTGGTAGTGAATTCGAAACAGTTTTAATGCAGTTCTACTCCAAAGCTACAAAAAAAAATTGATAATTTCAACGTAAGAGTAGGCGATGAGACAATTGAATCATCAAATAAAGTGAAATTTCTAGGTATCTACATCGATAGTAACATGACCTGGGAGTCGAATATGAATCAAGTTACCATCAAGAAAGTAAACACTGGATATTATATATATAATTAGACAGTTGAAGCCAACATTCAGTAAGGCCCAGCTCTTTAATGTATATTTTGCAATTGTATACTCCCATATTTCTTACAACATTGCTGTGTGGGGCTGTTGCACAAAACTAAATAAAATATTCATTTCTCAGAAAATGGTTATACGATTGATATTTGGATTAAATTACAGAGAATCATGTAGACAATACTTCATTCGAAATAAAATCATGTGCGTTCCATGCATTTATATATACAAATGCATTTTATTATTCAAAACAAATATCCATGACTACAACCGAAATTGTGATTTTCATGCATACCCTACCAGGCATGGTGAACTGATACGGCTCCAAAAACATTCAACTCGTCTCTATGAGAACTGTCCGTCATATGTGGAAGCAAAATTGTTCAATCATCTTCCGGATGATATAAAAAACCGAAGTAGTCAAAATATTTTCAAGGCAGAACTGAAAGAATTCCTGATTAAAGGTTGTTTCTACAGTACTGATGAGTATCTTAGTCATTAGGACCAATTTCTTTATTTTATTTATATTAATTTTATATCTACTTTTGGTGTATAACTGTAATGTTTACTAATTCATGTTCAAAATGTTTGTGTATCATCTGTTGTCTGACGTATCCTATATAATTTTTTTGATCATGAAGGATTTAATAAATTTATTTATTTATTTACTTAATAATATCGATTCCTCTAATCGAAATACAGAGCAAGCACTAAAGATTCCAGTTTTGCCTAGATTTTTCTTCTGTGATTAAGTGATATCTTCTGAAGGTAAGTTACTCAGATTGGCTGAACTTCAATGTCCTAATTGTATATCGCCTTGTATATTCCTTGTAGGTATCTTCCGAGGTATCTCCCCGAGTATCTCCCTTAGGAATCTAAATAGGGAAATATTCATAGGAAATTTTAGAGATAGAATCAACTATCCCACCGTATCGAACAAATATCAAATTTGACATAATTTGTTCCTATTGAAAAACGAAGATGCTTGATTTATATCTTCCAAAACCTTGCGTGTTATTTTGATGGAATAAGGTATCTTTTTCCGTTTCTTTTTTTCTTTCGGAATTCATCCATATTTTCAGTAATTAAGATTTTGGCCTGTATATTTAGAATTCCAGCACCCAAAAATTCTGAAAGATCTATCCAGCGCATCGCCAGATATACATATTTTCAAGCCATTTCAAGCAAATTTTGTTCTATCATCCGCACCATGAGATCTACCCTGAAACACCCAGTATTTTAAAATTGTTTGAATACTTGGCACAAGAATATAAAATCTGACATATACATATACATATTTATATCCCAATAACTTCCATAAAATACGCCAAAAACAAAACTATAAAAATGAGTAAATATTGACATTGATCGTCGTAAAAAAACATTCCACAGCCAGGTTCATTCCATAATGATCACTTGTGAAATTTGAAAATGTCCAAATATAGCATAAAATGATGGAATTTCAATTTCGAATTGGTCATTTGCCGTGATTATTTCTGTTCAAATCATTTCCTACCGCTTGGATACTTAGTGATTATATTCAGTAGAACATGTTACATGTTATCATCATCAGACCTCGTATCAGACATAATAATCATGAATTTCATCTCGACTTTCATGAACTTTCCAATGGTATATGTTATTCCCTATCATTCATTATATTCAAATTTTCTAGAGACTTCCTACCAAGAGGAACAGGAATAGTAACTAGAAGACCACTCATTTTGCAGTTGAACAACTCAAAATTTGGTGAGTATAATATGTAATATTTCTCGTAATATTTAGACGGATTTTAATGAAGAAATCGATGAATTGTAATCATATACAGTGTATGCCAGATTCGCTTTTCTATCGAGTTCTCTATCAGGAATCTCCGACCGTATAATACCCACAGCAATTATTGGGAAAGTTGTAGAGGAAACTTAGTGCATTTGATAACCGACTTCAGATTTACGATGGGGTCTTGGTTCTGGAAATATCGGCGAAAAACCGAAAATGGCGGATTTCGTCTTACGCCAGAAAATCCGAAACGGTTGATTTGACAGCTGTCAAAATGTGAGATTATCACTTTTGTAAGAAGATAGTATGCATGAAATTTATCAATCGTCTTAGGGAAAATAGATATTATTTGAAATGATATTCCACACAAAAAAATCAGAAAATACAGGGTGCTCGGAACAAGCGATCTACAGGGTACTAGTTTTTTTTAAATGTATCTCATTCCACAATCAGTGAGAGATATCAAAAATGAATCCAACAATACAGGGTATCATATGGGATCATTTCATACGATTACGGAGATATAGCCGAATTTCTGATATATATTACGCTCAATGAGTTGGTCTGTAAGGGGTGTGTTTTTTAATAGAATCTCCTGTATTCTCCATAAACGTCACCGCCAGTGTCAATCTTGAACATGATGGGGTTACGTCAAACGACTACGAAGATTATACATATACCTTCGTAGCCGTTTGACATAACCCCATCGTACCCTGTATTGTTGGATTCATTTTTGAAATCTCTCACTGATTGTGGAATGAAATACAAGGGCGTTTCATCAGCAAAAAAACAACTAGTACCCTGTAGATCGTTTCTCCCGAGCAACCTGTATTTTCTGATTTAGCTGAAAAAAATCATTTCAAATGATTCGGTTCGTTTTACGGCATTCTCAAGTGCTAAAGTCTTTGAAGACTCATATTCTAGTAGGTATAATAAAAATGAGATAAATTGTGAAAAAAACTGGTATTGTTATAGCATCGGTTACGAGTTTCGCACCTCCCTGTACATTATATCATTATTTCCTTACTACGAAATGATTTTTAAGATCGAATTCACCTTGGGTACCAATTCCGTGATTCTAGGATCAATTATAACGAAGATAATTGGACTAGGACCTAACTTCAGAAGGCCCTTAGAAAATATTTTCGAACACGTTGAGAGAAACATTTTTCCTTATTTTCATCAGTAGAGCCTCCCGAAGTACACAAACGTTACTCAGGGCAAGTTCTAGATTCAAAAATTCGTTTAAGGCTATTCAACTAGATTATTTAGTTTATCATCAATCTAATGAACCTCGTTTGAGACAGCTGGAAAAAAACTGTTGTAAACCTCCGTTCTATTTTCAGAATATGCCGAATTCTTGCACAATAAAGGCCAAAAATACACGGATTTTGAAGAGGTTCGGAAGGAGATCGAAGCTGAAACAGATCGAGTAACGGGTAGTAACAAAGGTATATCTACTATACCAATCAATCTCAGAATATATTCCCCGAATGGTAAGTGATAACATAGCTCAAATGATGATTTGAACAAAAATCGAATATTCTTCAGTCATTGATTGTAAGTTACGAAAGTGCTGAACGGACATAATTTTATTTATTTATAATTGCAATTAGCCACATTATTTCCAGTTCAATCTGGCAATTAGCCATAAGACATTAGACATTGAGAGCGCCATTAGGAAGAAATCTAAGGTTAGATAAATCTCTAACAAATTTGGCGCCCGAGCAGGGACCGAGTTATGGCCGAGTAACAGCAATGTTAGCTTGTCGCGAGGATAGGCAAGTGACCCCTCGTTCAGTAGGTCTCTGAGATTGAGAAATTTATTTCACATACTATCGAGTTGCTATGATCCCCCTGAAAGTTATTCATCGTATCTTTCCCATTTGAAATTAGACATCAACTATAACGATAGTGGTTGGCCTCGTTATTTTTTTGTTCGAATGAACACCTGTCATTTTGACAGCAGGGGATACTTTGATCGGTATCAGGCAAGTGAATTCTCGTTAGTTAGATTCTCGAGGTAGGAGACTCCGCTTGGATATCGAGTCGTTTCGACAGTTCATATGCAAGATAAACAAACTTTCCGGAATAGAATCGGAATTTCGGAGCTATTCAATCGAGATCGGAAATAACAGTCTAATTTGAGACGTTGAAGTAGACAGGCTTGCCGAAAATGATTAACTAAGGCACTATACTAAGGATCAAGAATCCGCAGAAGGTCAGACTTCTCCATCTAAGAATAACGAGCCAATAGATGTCAGAGTGAGCTGAGTCTATCAACTGAAGAAGGCTCATATAGATGTGTAGTTATCTAAGTTTAGCCTTGAAGTCACTGGAACAGTCGGGCTACCGCACTACCGACACCGACTTCAGGGAATGTCCCACTTACTTCGAACTAGACATTCCGCAATCTGAACACCGTACCCCTTGTGAACCTTAATTCACCTGGGACCCTACCGACAGTGACCGTACCAACAATGACACTAACAGACTGGAATTTGTCATTTGATGGGATGAGAGGCCCAGTTGCATTCCTGGAAAGACAGAGATTCGACTATCTCAGAACATACCAGCCTACAAACTGATCGCCGTACCACCATATTCATTCCTAGGGGAAACCGCCCTTCGGCGTGGGACGAAGTGGGAATCATTCACCGTGCTCTTCCGAGTTTTTTATTTCCCGGCTAACTACCAAGTTGTCGAGGAAGCTGCTATTGGCAGACGTCTATAAGGACCTAATGAGTATGTACATAAAGCGTATATATATATGACATCCGGATGGTTATACCAGAGTATCGACAGCACATCAAAAGGAGTGACTTCACCGATATTGTCACTTTCTCTCGTGCTATACGGGATTTTTAATTGCTTCGAGGAGACATACAAGAGAGGTACCAAACCTATGCAATGACTGTACGGTACCCTATGGTGTCGAGAGCCCCATCGACAGCCTCAGAAAACCCTAGACCGAATATTGTTAGACCGTCTAACACTTCGAGGACGGGAACAAGGACACATGGTCAAGCAATAATAGGTCATCCCAGGATCGAACTCACCACCAGCCATATGTTGGCGAAGTGGACAAACAGGACACAAGAACCAGTGCAGATCTGCTCCTAAGTTATTCTGCTCCAGATGTGGATAAGAAGGAGTGATGTCACGTGAGTGTCCATACCCTAGGTCGGGAAACTTGGAAGGCATTGCACCGCTCCGAGACCCGAGCAAAGCCATTCCACAAAGCATCCAGAACGTAAAGGGCATATAAGGTGGCAAGGAAGTGGCAAGATATGAGCTAAATTTAGTTTTAATTGCCAATTCAAACTGGCAATTATGAAGAAATTTCATCATGTCCGTTCAGCGCTTTCGTAATAAGTTGATAATCCAATTTTGAAATATGTTCTATGCTCACCACTCACCAGGTAAACAGAGTGAAATCGAAATAAATACATAAACTGCTGATGAGATTAACGGCCACAGGACATTTTTTACACATTGAATTCGTATTGGTATAGATGTGGATGGTGATAGATACGATACCCCATAACCCATCTTCTTCTGCTATAACTCAAGATTTTCCTGTTTATAGTATAGCTCCTTAAGCTTCAGTTCTTTCAGGAATTGAGAGAATTTGAGCGGAGGTGTTCTTGCTGGTTCGTGGTATTTCTTCCGCAGTCAGCTGGTATAATCCCAGTATATTCGATATTTTGTGATGTACAGCATAACACTCCAGCTAGATTTGGTACAGTGTTTCTGGATGTTCCTGTTCTTTTAGCATACAATGCCCCGTTAGAAATCCCGTTCTTGCCTTGAGACTAATTTTGGTGAGGTTAATTAGTGTTCTTGATCTTGCTTGGTTGAAATTGCAGAGGAGATCTTTGGCCTGCCGCAGTGTTGGATGGCTTCGCCAGTGTGTTGCTCTCATTGCTTCTTCAGCTTTATTAAGTTCTTGTCTGCTTGTTCATTCCCATCCACTCAGATATGTGACCAGGATCCCGAAGAGGTTGTTGAGTTTGTCAAAGGCATTCCCAAACCATCTTTGAGTTGATGTTTGAAGAGCTCGACGCTTCGATGGCTCCTTGGCTGTCAGAGAGGATCGCGATTTTCTAGATTCTGGTATTTTTTGTTAATATTGCAGTGAATGCACCTGTCTATGGCGTGAATATCTCCTTGAAAAACGCTGAGAATTTCCCCGTTGGTTGAGAATTATACAACTACTATAATCGACTATACTAGTGTACGAATAACAATTCCTTTATGTCAAAGATTTCCCAAAAATACCAGAAATTATTCGAAATTCATCAAAATTACCTGAAATAGCTTTAAATTCCTCTGAAATTTTGAGAGGTCGGAACTGAGAATAGCACTTATTCTTCTGAAAAATCTCATCGCTCATGGATTGTCAAATGTGAAGCACTGACAGCTCTGTCTAATAGATGAGCATTACTTGACAGGAAATCAGATGGCAACAAGACGAAGAAATCGAATATGCCGCTGTTATCTATTATAGCCGTAGAAAAATTATAGTGTATAACTTGCAGGGAATGCTAATTTCCTACTCGAATGATTGCTATTCTCGTAGGAAATCACTATCATTTCGATATACTAATTTTTCTCAGAAATCAAAAGCTATCAGAATACGCTCTCATTTGGAGTGACGATCTTTCAAATCTCAAATCAAATCGAACGGATATTCCAGGTGTCCAGTTTCTAGTTTCAACCACTTTTAACCACTTCATATATAGGTATATTTATATTTCAATCCCTCAGTTTTGAACCTCACCTTGATCGACCTACCGGGAATGACCAAACTCCCCATAGGAGACCAGCCGCAAGACATCGAAGCGCAAATTAGGAACATGATTTTGCAGTTCATCAAAAAGGATTCCTGCCTCATTTTAGCAGTTACTCCAGCAAATACTGATTTGGCCAATTCGGACGCCCTGCAAATAGCAAGAGAAGTCGATCCACAAGGTAAGATTCATACAGGAAGATCCACGAGGTTTTAAGCGGCCAAATAACTATTGAACTGTGAATTTGAGATTTCAAACAGTAAAAATAAGTAGTTTCCTCGGTCTTATCCATGTCATTATTTTATGTAAAACAGTGAACAGAAACAATCGAGAATAGTACATTATACATCAAGGGACAGAAAAGTAAGATTTTTTCCAAGGTGCTATTTGTAGCTCGAGGGCGAAGCCCGAGAGGTACTACAAAGCACCGAAGGAAAAATAGTATTCTCTCCTGAGGTGTATATACTATTTTTTACGTTGGCGAAAACACAAAAATTAAGGAATAATGAAAATTTGGTTAGCGTGTTTTGCCATAATTAGTAGTAGTATAGTTTGTGGAATTCGTATCTTGACATTGTTGACAACCCATGGTGACAGCAAATATCAAACTGAAATTTATGAAAACAGCTTTGAAAATGGTTAACGCTTATGGAACAAGAAATCGAGGAAAAACCCCAAGAAACTTCTGATAGGTACTGCTTCTGCAGTAATTCTTGAGTTGCTACCAGTGAGATCTAGAAATCTGTATGATGCAACTTATATATAGTCGCATCAGAGAAGGGTGTTCCGAAAAGGAAGCGCAGAGCTATGCAAAAAATGTATAGTTGGTGTAAACTCCCTAGGGAGAAAATACGTCACATTATCTTCCTAGGGAATAATACGAGACCTCTGCCCCTCTTTTGTTACCAGAGAAACTAACTCCTACTTCGGTCGGCGTAAAAATATATATTTTTCTAGTTGAAAAATATCTGAAAATATCTCAACGAAGTTTAAAACACTAACAACTTCTATGGATTTCAAAATTGTATCTCGATGAATAACAAAAGTTACACGATGTTGCATACATCCGGATGGGTCACAAATTACATGAAAAAATTCGACGATGGCAAGTATGATGCCAAAAATCTAACAAAACGACTCTCCGTACACGCAATGACTAACAATGAAAACGCTATCTTTCGAACCAGCGACATTCATTCTCTTCGTTATATATGTTACGGGGAACTTGATTATTCCAGGCATTATTCATAATGCCCGAGCAGTTTAGAAAGAGCCCAACACCATCGGGCAATTCGATAATTTTGTATTTGTCTTCGATAATTTATTGCATTGCCATAAATACTGCTATTATTTTCTGGACACTTTGATTAATTAACAGCAATTTGGCAACTTGCCTATGGTGTGATTCTCGCTGGCCAATCAGCATTGATTTTTGATGAAGGTTCATTTATGCCAAGTAAGGTTAGTTGGTTTAAAAAAAGTAGTGTACTTTTTTATGCAGGAGGGATACTTTCCTTCCTCCCTGAAAAAAGTACTGTCTTCTTAGGAAAAAGGTTCATTCAGATGGTTTGAAAAAAGTAGTTTCCTTTTTTATGCAGGAGGGAAAAAGTAGTGTAAATATGAATATATGAATAAAAATATTCTCAAATTGACCACTCGACGTTCAACATTATTCATAATGTCTGGGCATTGTGATATTTCTATACAAATTATCATTTTGTCCATGCCCTTCGGACACTTTCAAAATTGCTCGGGCTTTATAAATGATGTCCAATTATTTACGTTGCTCGTAATATATACACTGATTGAGCTTATAAATGCACAAATGATGAAAATTATGGAAAATTCATAGGTATTTTTTAGATCATTTGAGATACCAAGTCGTATTTATATTTGTATGATATAGAAGATAAAGAGACTGATAATACGAAACGCTATTATAAAAAAATATATTAATTGGCAAACATTTTCACGCCATTATGTATTCACAATGACTGATGTGACGAAAAGAAGATTTCATTAGAACCAGTAATTTTTTTTTTTTTTTTTCGTTACACTGATTGAGCTTATAGATGCCCCAATAATAAAAATAATGGAAGGAATTTATGCATTTTGTCGATCACTTGAGATACCAAGTTGTAAATACATATATATTTGTATATAAAGTAAATAAAGAAGATAAAGCGGGTGATAAAACGAACGCTATTATAAAAAACTATATTAATTGACAAATATTTTCACGCCATTATGGAGTTTAATTTCATAATGATGCCTATAAAGGATGTTTCGGAGATGACATGACAAAAGCATAGGAAGAATTCCATCCAGCAGAATATGCATGGAAACAAAAATAATGTCTGCTATACAAGGTATCGAGTTTTTTTTTGAGTGAATTTTTCAAAACGCTCTACCTGAATTCGAAGAAATTTATAACTACAGTTTATTTAAACAATGATCAGACACCTGAATACTGGACAGATTTTCCAAGCATGAAATTATCTACTCCAGACTCTGGAGGTTATTTTTTGCTAAAAACGATGACCTTGTAGTTTTTTGGCGGTTTTCATCAATTAATCAGTTGAAACTACTCAAAATACAACAGTTTTGTATCATGACTTTTTAGTGTCTTCACCAGTATTTAGTTACAAGAAAACATTCATATTTACCCTGAAAATTTAAGAGTGCATTTTAGAGACGAATTTATTAGAAGCTCTTTGTGTTTGTGTACAATTTATGCGTATTTTTATGTTTTCTAATGGAATTTTGAGACTCCCATCATCTAAAGCGTTCTAAAATTGATAAACAAATTTTTTTTTCAAACACTATATCTCGAAAAAGAAACATTTTCAGGCCCATATTCATATGAACTATTTTCCACATTTCGCTGATTGATATTTACTCTAGGTTACTACTCTACCTCTGAAATATCCTCTATATAATAGTCCTTATTATATACCAACTGATTTCGTTTCGACGTATACAAAAAAATACCTGTTTTTTTCTAGGTTTCAGAACCATTGGTGTAATAACAAAACTTGATATAATGGATGAAGGAACGGATTGTAGAAACATTCTAGAAAATAAACTTCTACCTCTAAGGAGAGGGTACGTTGGCGTTATCAATAGATCACAGAGAGATATTGACACCCAAAAAGATATCAAGCTAGCAATTGAAGCAGAACGAAAGTTTTTCATCAGGTAGGTAAAGGGTGTCTTCACGTTGGTCTTCTCGTATATTTTGAATCCCAATTGACTTTCACATTCTTACAAAAAAAAAAAGGAATGTGATCATTTATAACTTCGTGAACCAACACGACGTGAACAGAAACACAGTGAAATATGAAATATCCGAAAAAAGTTATGAGTTTACCTAATTCAAATGGATGGCGTGTATCAATTACAAACTCAACAAGAATACTATGATTGATGGATTTGTATCAGACTATGGAAATTATGGACAAAAAACTTATACAAAGATCATATAGGTGCCTACTCCCCATCAAACCTTTGGTATCCGCTGGTATCGTAGAATGGTATGAATATGGGATTGATCGGTTACCCACGTGAACACACTAGATGGTAACGATTGATCACACTTATGCACATTTTGTAGCACTAAAATTCTCCTTCTGAGTTTTTGATAATTCAGTTATGAGGGCATTCTTCCAAACTCTTTCATCTAAAACCACACTCTGAATTCGGTTACAAACATAAATTATAATGGCCGACCTCATCCGAACTTTATTCGATTAAAACAGAAAATTCCACAGGAGAAATTTTTAACCAATCAAATTGGGTTTTTTGACAAATCACCATAGCGACGTATGTATTTTGGTGATTTTTTTTTTGGGTACCCAACAGCGAATTAAATCGGATTATTTTGACGTTTCAATGACAGAATGATATAATTTCCTACCACTCATATAGAAAGTAACCCGAAGTTGATATAAAATGGATGAATATGATATGTTACATTCTAAACTGGTATTTTCATGCAACTACAATTGGTAGAAGCAAACTTAACTTGTTCATGAACCTATATGAAGATCAAACAAATAAATTATTAAATTATTCAAACACAATCTGGTGTAAAATTTTCTTAATTGAATAGTTCTCCAGTGGTATTATATAAGTGAAAAAATCATCCAATATCACTGAACTCTACCAATAAATTGATTACCAATAATTGATTATTTACTAGCTCTCGATATTTCGTAAACAGGGTTGGTATGAATGATTGAATGAATCCACAATAAACATTACTGCATGTATGATAGTTGCTTATTCGATCTATAATTTCATTATATATCATAAAATTGTTTGATTCATTTCAACATTACTCTTCATTCAATGCATGGATATCAATTCTCAATGGCCTTTCTAGACTATAGGATACATAAAAGATCCGACTGAACAATCACAACTTTATATTTAAAGATACTCAACGCATAGATAGTAGAATAAAAAACTGTAAAATAAATTATTCAATTTCATATTCAGATTATTCAATGGATATGTATGTCAAAGGAATTTCCAGATAGCTAACATCTCAACTGTATGTGAGAAATAGAAATGCTCAAACTTTTTTTGTTACGTTCATCTGTTTTTGTTCATGTATGAAATTTAATAATCTACACGAGAAATCATAAAACTTCACACTCTGATTTGAGTACAAAGTGGGTTCAAAATATAAATGTAGACCCTATCTTTACTCAATAATCCAATGAATAGTTATAAATTTTACCAAAACTTTTTCAGCCATCCAGCATATCGCCATATTGCAGACAAACTAGGGACTCCTTATTTGCAAGAAACTTTGAATGCACAGCTGACTGAACACATTAGAAACACCTTACCTTCTTTGAGAGACAAGTTACAAAAACAATTGATAACCTTGGAAACCGAACTGGGAGATTTTAAAAATTTTGCTCCCGATGATCCTCTGATAAAAACGAAGGCCATGTTACAGTAAGATCAATTTTCATATTGGGTTTCACCATGGGATATAACTTTTATAACTTATATACCACTCGACTGAATTTATGCAATAAATGAAAGAGTTGCATGCGTGAATTCAGTAATAATATGACAGTGACAAATTCAGATAGGTAGGTATTATTGTACTTGAATCTAGACTGTGATGTAATCTTTTGGAAATACGACTGCGGTAGACGGGGACCACTCAAAAATCCTGTTCGGTCACCCAATTTCACTCCTATAATTTTTTTTTAAATTTAGGTGGTTGCGCCAATATCGACCACTCAATAATCAGGCAGTTATTCAGGTATGAATGTAAGGCCTATGTGTAATATACTCTTGTCTTCCTTTCATGGTAGGTACATAATTTACAACAGTGCATGATGAGATATACAAACATCCTGCATTTTTTGTGATTTCATAACCAACTTCGCCCTGTAAGTATTTTCGTTATGTTTGATTCAGTTTGATATGTCTATTCATTTGACAATTTACAAATTTTTCAATAATGTACTTATCTACCCACTCATAGCACCGTTTTGTTAATATTGATATCCAAAAATGCCTGAACTCATATGAATAAAAATGATTAAGGATTTACGGTCGACGAAATATATGTCACAAAGTGTCAAGTAAGTGATTATTCGACTTTATTTTTTTTATTGATATTGAGTCTTCATCAACTTCCACTGAGATTGACTAAATATCTCAGCACAGTTCAATAGCTCGATCAATTGAATTCGGATGTTGGATTCTATATTCCATTTATTTTAATCTTAGTGAAAATTATCATAAATTCTAATATTTATAAAATGTCGAAGCAAGCAGAGGAATAAGGAATCCTAACCCAATTACTTGATTATACAAATACCTTATTATGATTTGCTCGGATTTGCTTATGGATTTGCTATACAGGACAGAACGAAAATGATTAAAGTCTGAAATATTGCCCAGAACGTACTGAGAACAACAGCGCACATTGATATCAAACTCAGTTGGTTCTTAAATCGAATGATGGGTGAATACTTGCACGACTCAAAATTCGTCCTTACTCAAAAATAACGGGTGATATTTTATTAACGTTTGCTATATCAAGTAGTATCAATTATAATCTAAGTGCTGAGCCATTGCGCTGTGCTGATAATCTTATTTGAAGTTGCCAAAAAGCTACAATTGAGTAAGTATATTGGTTAAGAATCTCTATAATTCCTGATAGAATTCCACCCATTATCCTCAAAAAATTCGGGTATTTTCCCATCTTGCTGGAAGATAGCTAGAGTCCAACCATTGTCGATCTAAATGGAAACCTAGTAGGCGACCTAGTACGCGAAGAGGTACAATTATTATTGGCTGTTCATTCAATCAAAATCTGTCTGCCTGTTGTGCGATAGGGAAGAGAATGTGGAAAGAGCTCATTTGTTTATGTCAAAATGGACAATATTAGGTTGACATTCTCTTCTTCTATTTTTCTCCAATATGTACTTAACCACAGACGTACTAACTACCTATCTAGGTTGTCATCTAGAAAGACAATGGTCCAACTAATCCCCAAAAAAGTTAACGAACACCTGCTCAACAATTACAGGACCATGACCTATTGTTTTGATTATTATTTGCCCAGTTAGCCATCAACATTGAGCTTATCAAATGTCTGAAAAGCTCAGGAATCATAAATGATAGACGATACGGCTTTAGCCACCGAAGGTCAACTGGAAATCTACTTGCCTACGTCACCCGTATATGGCAAGTTTCATTAGAAAAACATGGGGAATATCTAGCTGTGGTGTTAGACATATATCGAAAGCTTTCGACCGTGTTTGGCACCAAGGACTCCTTCACTATAACTACCATCATACGGCTTACCACCTCAGCTATGACAACAACCTAGTTGAATTCGAAAACTCAAGCCTGTATTTTCTCACCAAGTACACTATACCTATGCTCGGTATTTTCATCAGCAATACTCTTTCATGGGATAATCATGTCAGATCCATCGCGTAGGCTGCTTCATAAAAACTCAGATTTTTGTTACGTGCAAAAGACAACTTTACACCTCAACAGCTTCTCATGATCTACAAAGCACATTTACGGCCTGTTCTAGAATACTGTTTCCACATATGGGGTTCGCCAGCACCTAAACATACGCTGATGCTCTTAGATGCCATTCAGAGAAGAGTCATTCGCCTGGTGGGTGATGCCAAACTCACTAACTCTTTGACATCATTGGAACACCGTAGAAAAGTCGGCGACTTTTCACTTTCTTATACGTAAATACTTCCACGAGAAATTTTCTTCAGAAATCTCTGGTTCTCTGCTATCATTCCATCACTAGCAATACCAGCCAGACGAATTCGACAAGCCCAGTCAGCACATCTTTTCGTTGTCAACCTCGAAATATGTCGAACGGCACTTTATCAAAACTCGTTTGTCTATAGAACGACAATGCTATGGAATTCATTGCCTAAGGAAGTATTCCCAAGAACTTATAATCTCCAAAAGTTCAAAAAATAGTATGTATATTATGTAACAAGTGTTATAAGTATTTTAAGCACGAGCGGAGCAGAGCGGAGCAAGTGTTTAATAAACGAGTGTCTAGAAGAGTTTATAAATGCGTTACATACTATGCTTTTTCTACGAACTCCGAAAATTACATTGAAATACCTGCTATTCCTGCTAACCTACAAAATAATTCGATAGGAATGGGAATTGAGAACATAATACATGCAACTGCATGCAACCAGCGAGACACGTATAAGTAATATTTGTTGTAGATGTGTCCAGTCCATTGCTTACTAACCTTTGTTTCACGTTTATGCTTAGCGCATAATAAATAAATAGTTCTCAAAGATGGATGCTTCATTTTTACACTTCTTGGAGATGTGCAAGTACCAAAACATTATCTTCGATTTCACTTTTGTCTACATTTCGCATATATTTTTAATGAAGAATTCTAATACAAACGAAAATTGTTTGAATAATTCTGATACAAAATTCGGAAATGACAGTTGGCTGTTCCTACAATTGATAGGCCGGACATGTCTCAAATTATACTGAAGCTGTGTTTAATCATGGTATCATGGTAATGTGTTTAAGAAATCATGTTGCCATGGTAACGTGTTTAATATTTTGAATAAATCACAGATCGTCAATCTGTGATTAATCGACTATTTAGCGTGGTACATATCCGTACGCTAAATGCCATTTTAGTTATGTGAGTAGAAAAAATCCGATACCTACTTCCTCTCCCTTGCCTCCCTAGGTACACACACAAAAAAATCTAGGCTATATTATTAACGAATGAGAAGTTTAGTTCACGTTCACTAATTCCGAATACTATTTACACAGTGATAGTGGATAAGTTTCACAAAATTCAGGGCCTGATTCCTTGTGATATTTTAGGAAATAAAGTTTACATAAACATGTGTCCTAACTTTTGCTCCATTTTCGGAATATAAGGATAATATTTTCATGTAAAATGGTTTATTTATTCATTACACAAATGTGTCACCACAATAAGTAGTTATTTTTGTATCTAGTGCACGAAATACTACTTTGGTGATCGAGAAGTGATTTTTTCAACAAAGCGCAGCCCAGTTAATATTTTGATCCCTATATTTTTTTATGGTGCCATTCGATAGTATACGTCGACACTTTCTCAAGGTTTGATATATTTCTATGTATTTCAATGCCACCCTGTATAATATGTTATCACGTCTCTAGAGGTTTGTTTTAAGATATTGTTTTACCTCGAAGCCCCAAATGATGAACTCATATTTGTATATTTATGTTGAGCTGCAGCTTATTTTAGTCGATTCAAGAGGTCAAGATTCACAAAGTTATGAATGAATGTACGAAAGAATTTGCAACGCCATATTTTCAGAAAAAAATATGTAATATTTTTCTCTGAATGAATAATACATTCCTTTTTTAGGCTAATACAACAGTTTGCTATTAATTTTGAAAAAATTTTGGAAGGGTCTAGATCTGACGATGTAAATACAACAGAACTATCCGGAGGTGCTAAAATAAATTGTTTGTTTCACGAAAGATTTCCCTTCGAGATTGTCAAAATGGAATTTGATGAGGGTGAACTAAGAAAGGAAATTGCAATGGCCATATGCAACATTCACGGGATAAGGGTTAGTTCTTCAATATAATCGGATAATAATGTCATATTTGTAATACTTCAAACTTTTATTTTCCAGATAGGCCTTTTTACACCAAGTTTGGCTTTCGATGCCATTGTGAAGAAACAGATTGCTAGGTTGAAAGAACCAAGTATGAAATGTGTAGATCTTGTTGTAAATGAACTCATGAATATAATACATTCTTGTTCACAACAGGTGAAACTTCATAGCCCTTCATCAACTCCCTCATTTTATTGAAACCTAATCGATTTTCCAGATGTCTAGGTTCCCAAGGCTGAAAGAAGTGGTAGAAAGAAATATCACAATACATGTAAGAAGAAGAGAACAAATGTGTAAGGACCAGTTGTCCAATTATGTCGAGTGTCAGTTGTCTTATATGAACACAAATCACGAAGACTTCATCGGATTTGCCAAGTAAGTATTCTTGATGTTGAAATAAAAAACATGCAGGATTTCTTATTTTAGTGCTGAAAGTCAAGCAAATAAAATGATACATTCACACAATCATAATTTAGGAAATCAAGTGATTCGTAAAGGTTACATGACTTTACACAATCTCAGTATTATTAAAGATAGGAGTTTCTGGTACGTACTATCGTCTGATAATCTATCCTGGTACAAAGACGATACTGAAAGGGAAATTCAATATATTCTACCTCTGAATGAACTAAAAATGAGAGATATCGAGACTGGGTCATTTATGTCAAGGAAACCAACATTTGCCTTATTTTTACCAAGCGGGGCAAACGTATACAAAGATTATAAACAGTTGGAGCTCAGTTGTAACTCCCTAGATGATACGGATTCCTGGAAAGCCTCATTTTTGCGGGCTGGAGTATATCCCGAGAAACAGCAGAATGCCAACGAAAATGAAGATGAAGGTGGTAAGGTGAGTTAAAAATCCGGCATCACCGCGGTAGTCCCAGAAAACCTAATAGATTCTAATATTAGCTGATACAGTATGATTCAGTTTTCATAGGAACCCATCCATAATATCACAAGTATCGGTCATTGGAAATCGAAATAAACTCAAATTTGAAAAGCTCCACCCAAAAATATACGCCGCTGGCTGCTAGTCCGTTTAAAGTTCAAACGGAGCGGATGCACGTGACAGAGATTCTTACCAAAGAAGGGAAGATTTGTATTTCGTGCAAGAAATTTATTCAAAATATTCGTAGCAGGGCGCTTCCGACTTACAGGTACGCACTGATGATGACTTAACAGATAATGTACCTACCTGGAAAATCTGATTCCTTCGTCTCTCGCTGCAACCTATTAGGACTCGCTGACTTTTAAAGTTGATATTGGATAATGGTAACGTCAAATTGTCAGACGTGATTGACCAGATTGACACGAAGTTTTGTATGATTAGAGCCAATTAGAGTTACGATTGCTACGAATAAAGAGAACTAAGAAACTGCCCTATCACTCTGGCAGTGAAGCCATAATCAGCTCACCTCTGCTGGGAATTGGTTCAGTCATGGAGGTAAGGGATTTCACGAGCGAAATGAGATGTTCCCGAGATGCGCTTTCCGTAAAGAGGTCTTTGAGCTCTGTGGCTGCTACTGCTTGGCATTCCGTGAGGATGTAGGTAGCTGATTTCTCATCCTCCAGGCACCATCTACATTCAGCATCATCAATGATACCCATAATGTTGAGGTGCCTGATGTTTAGATGGCAGTGCCGCGTGAGGACCCTAGCACTATTCTGATTTCTTTCCTGCTCAATGTGAGCAAAGTTTTGGTTCTTCTGATAGAATGGCCTTCGATGTGGAGTTTCGATTGTCTTATGCCAGGTGTTTCTTTCCGTAAATCCTGAAATTTCGCTTCCAGGATATTCATCATGGTTGACACGCTGCAGGTACTAGAAACTCCTAAGATTGGTTCTGGTCCAACCGCTGAGATATTTGCTTCTTGTCTGGCCAGGTAATCGCGGCCCTTTCATTTCCGTGGAATACGGTATGACCCAAAGGAGTTTCACCTTGTTGGCTGTGGATAACCTTTGCAGCTCATCAATACGCTCTGACACAAATAGAGAACTGACCCTGTATGATGAGAGGGCCTTGATCGCCGCCTGGCTGTCGAATCATATCGTGATTAGCCTCTGTTGATATTTTCTCTAATACAGGCGAGTATGGCAAGAATACCTCTGCCTGAAATACTGCGGTAAAATTCCCCAGGGCGTATAACTGAATTCCGCTTTTGGAGATTGCCCATATACCCCCGCAGTTTTTTGTCTCCCTCCGCTACGCGTCGGGAGACAACACAACCTGGAGCTAAATTCTACTACTTTTTTTCCCTTGTATAATAAATAACTATTGTTGATAATTTCATCGACGTACGATTTTTTTCCACAGGTGAATGAAGAAGTTGACCCTCAACTGAAGAGACAGGTCGAAATTATAAGAAATCTAGTCGACAGTTACATGTCAATAATTAAGAAGTCCACAAAAGACTTAGTACCCAAAATTATCACGCATATAATACTGAACCATATGAAAAAGTACATTTTTGAAGAGCTGCTCGTTCATGTCTATGCTAGCGAGGATCAGGTAACAGAATCTGTATTAATATAAACACTGCGTGTTCAAATATATAAATATATACAAAATTCGGGCGAATTATACATACTAAGAGTTGGCTATAGGCATACATCTTTGAAGGAAAATGGCATGATTTGCATATAGGTCTCTAATGAGGATTCGAAGAATAACCCACTTGCTTTTGTGCAAAACATTTTTTTAAAGATAATTAACATGTTTTATCGTCTTTTTCAAGTTGCGGCTCAAGTTGAGTATTTGCTTCAATTTTATTTTAGAGTTGTTGAGAGTTACTTGGCTACACAAGTTAATCACAATTTAGCATTTTGACTTCGATATTCTGACTGACTCTCTGTTGTTTCTATAAAGTTTCATGGTATTCTAGATGAACTTGCTGGAAGAATCACCCCTAGAAATAAGAAGGCGTGAAGAGCAAATGGCAATGTATCAAGCTTGCAAGTCAGCACTAGATATCATAGGATCATGTTCAACGGACATTTCAACCAAATATTCCGTGAAGGAAAGGGAAGAAAATATCTATGGAAATGCAGAAATTACTCTACCTCCTGCCTCGGCAGCATTGAAAAAAGGTAAGCGTAAAGTGTGAAGTCGCATTTTATGGCGGAATATAAGTAAGTGGTTATTCGATCCAGTTATACTTGAATGGAATTGGCTAACCACTTTTTCATCGACCTATATACAGCAAACAGTGATAGATTTTGAAAATCCTAATATTCCAGATCTAAATTATTGTTGGGATAGGTTTATATACGCTTATTTATTTTTTTGTATTATTTATTCATTTTCAAAATAACATACATATCAGCGTACTATACAGGGTGTTATTTAAGTACGTGGCCAAACTTGAAGGGGTGATTCTTTGAGTGATTCTAAGACGAAAAGTTCATATAAACATAGGTCCGGTAATGCTTCGTTTTCAAGATACAGGGTGTCAAAATTTTTAAAGGAAATCGTTTTTTTCGTAAATATCAATTTGGCAGTGTTATTCAAGGTCGTAAAGGGCTAATTTAACCCTAACTATATCAGAATTATCATGTCCAGTGGCGTACCGGAAGGCAATATAACCAATATTTTTGACAGAAAAAATGTGCGCCACTGATTTTTTTGCAATTTTTGTATTTGTTTCACATTGAGCAACTAAAATTACATTTTTTCATGTCTATAATTTTTTTCGTATCTTGCTTTGTTTTTGAGAAAAAACATGAAAATCACTTCATTGCACATCCCTGTGACGAACCGAAGCCAAGAGCCGGAGGCAAGTGCTGAAATTCATACATACATATTTTTTGTTTTTTCATTGCATTAATTTTTGATGGAAAATTCCAAGACTAGAATAGAGTATTAATATGAAAAAATATTAGTAAGACCCCAGTTTTTGATGGTTTAGTAGTTGAAATGTTTTATTGTGTTGTCACAGGGATGTGCAATGAAGTGATTTTTATGTTTTTTCTCAAAAACAAAGCATGATACGAAAAAAATTATAGATATAAAAAAGTTGTAATTTTAGTTGCTCAATGTGAAACAAATACAAAAATTGCAAAAAAATCAGTGGCGCACATTTTTTCTGTCAAAAATATTGGTTACAGTGCCTTCCGGGACGCCACTGGACATGATAATTTTGATATAGTTAGGGTTAAATTAGCCCTTTAAGACCTTGAATAACACTGCCAAATTTCAATAAAATCGGTTGAAGGGTTATCAAGATATTTACGAAAAAAACGATTTCTTTTAAAAATTTTGACACCCTGTATCTTGAAAACGAAGCATTACCGGACCTATGTTTATATGAACTTTTCGTCTTAGAATCACCCAAAGAATCATTCCTTCAAGTTTGGCCACGTACTTGAATAACACCCTGTATATCAATAATAATATAAATTTTTTTCATAATATGATCATGATCAGCAAAGTTGAAAACTTGTCCATGATCATGTAATTTTTTTTTCCTTCCACTGACTAACTAAATTTAATTTTCTCATTGAGTACAATGAAAATATCAAATACAGTTTTATATTATCTATATATCTATTGGTTAAATAGACAAACTAGTTGTATTTTTCCGTTGATTGAGTTCAATTTTTATAAATAGGACGCCCAGTATACAATATTCTCAATCGATAGGATATTTGATTTTGAACAAGAACAGTCCTATAAATTATTTTCTATCCTCAATTCAAAAATGACTGAGCTATCAACGTTTTTTTTTTACTTTTATGTCATAAGGTGCTCTTTTCTTGAATGGTACACCCAGTATAAAATATTCCTAATTGATAGCAAATTCGATTCTGAACACCTTTCATCGTAACATAACTTTGCACTCTCCATTAAAAGTAATTTATACACTAGCCAGCAAAAAAAACGGGCCACTAAAAAAATTTGCCTGTAACTTTTTTAATACTTGTCCGATTTTCGTAAAATTTCGATCAAATCGTAGATTCATGTTCCGGAATGTTGGCCTAAATATTAGTTTCCGTGAAAAGCTGATAACTTGATCATCACGGGGAAAAACCAAAGTTACTCTTTTCGCCCTTTACTTCTTAATTCACGTCATGATCTTATTTTCAAAAGCGTGTTCTGATAAAGTATGGCATTCTTCAATTCTTATTAACAATAATCAGAAACTACATATACTTATTGATAAACAACTTAGGAAATTAATATCACTTATTTCTACCTCATTTTTTCATCACAAACCGGAAAAAACCTCAATTACAATAAACAAACAGCAGACCAGTATAGTCAATAACGAGTAGGTATGCCCTCCTCCAGTTTGAATTACAGCATTCAACCGCCGTGGCATCGTGTTGATCAAATTTTTCAAGTAGTCATGATGAATTGCAGAGAGAAGTTGCCTAAAATGTACCTTGAAGGGCGAATCATAGCTCTTGAAGAGTATCTGATAAGGGCCGGACGAAGACGAATGAGTCTCTGGAGTTCATCCCTAAGATGCTCTATTGGTTCTGAATTATTGTTAGTACAAATTTGAAAAAATCCATTATTTCTTAACACTTGTATATTTCCTTGAAAATGGGATCTTGACGTGAAACTAAAACTATCGTGTTGAGAAGGGACGAAATAGGATCACACTTCAATTCAAAACATGATGAAGCAGAAGGTTGTAGAATGGTTCTGAATTTTTGTTAATAAAAATTAAAAAATCCATACTTCCTCAAAACCCTTGTATCTTCTTCCAAAAAGTGGAATCACGTCGTAAATGGAAAACATGATGAAGCCAAGTTTAACCACTCAGCTTTGCCACCACGGTGTCAAGAAGTTGAGGGTGAAAGTAACTTCTGTTTTTCCCTGTATAATGATCATGCCACCAGTTTTTCTTAGAACTAATATTAAGGCCAACATTCTGAAACATTAATTTACGATTTGGTCAAAATTCCACCAAAATCGGGCAAGAATTAAAAAAGTTACAGGGCGAACAACTTGGCAAAATTTTTTGATGGCCGGGTTTTTTTGCCGGTGAGTGTATTCGCGAGAATCACGAAGTGTGCGGCCTCTGGTGGCTAACTTTACAAGTCTTGCGAGTATGAACAATAATGACAACAAATATGGCGACCACTGTTTTGAGTTTCATAATTTTTTTTTCATGTTTTATTTGAAAATAATATATTTGTTGAAGTGCATATTCCAGAACCTCACTTTCCCCTGATGAAAAACTCGAATTATTGCATGAACTTTTATTGTTTACAATGAAGAAACCAGTACCTACCTTATAATAATATATGATATACATTTTCTGAAGCACAATTAAAATCATTGTATAAATGTTGGTTGCAATGATTCGATCTTGAGAATAGTAGTAGTAGTAGTAGTAGTAGTAGTAGTTTATTCTGTGTGATAAAATAATTATATACATTCGTCAGGCACAATATACAATACAACATACAATACACATATCAATAAAAAGTAAAATCAAACAATATATACAATTATACAATCACTGATAATACATAAATTATTCTTAAAAGCATACATTGAAATGTTTATAAAATTCTTCCATATCATAGAACACATTTTCTCTCAGAAAATGTTTACAATGATTTGTAAACTTTTCCAAATTTAATTCTCTCCATTCTTCTGGCAGACTGTTGAAACATTTGAGGGACTGGTATTTGTAGGATTTTGAATTTTTGTCAAGTCTAAAAAGTGGCATTTGGTAGGGTCTGTGTCTTGTTTCGTACCTGTCTTGTCTAAATAATGATGATTGATTCTCTTTCGCAAATTTTAGAGCTTCCAGAATATATTTATTTGTAGTGGTTAAAATACGAAGCTCCTTGAACAAGGGTCTGCAAGGTTCTCTATAATTTGATTTTGATATGACACGCACGGCTCGTTTTTGCAGTAATAGTATTTGATTAGCATGTGATGAATTACCCCACAGTAGTATGCCATATGACATTACACTGTGGAATAGAGCATGATAGGCCATGACTATGTGTTCTTTGTCTATCATGCTAGTTAAATTTTTTAAGAGAAATATAATGCTCGCGAGTTTGCTAGATAGTTTGTCTATGTGTATGGACCAAGTTAGTTTATTGTCCATGTGAATTCCTAAATATTTCACAGAGCTATTCAGAGATGATATCATTGGATTCAAACTGAAGTTTAATATCGTAGTTTTTTCTTCATTTAAGGAGAGTTGAATTGAGTTGAAATAACTCTTTGCTTGGGAAATCATCTCTTTCGATAGTTTACTCGTGTCTGAACTGGTTTTGCATGGTGCTATCAAAGTTGTGTCATCCGCAAAGATCACTCCTTTGTGTTCAATATGATTTGATATATTGTTCACGTAGATAATGAATAAAATTGGTCCTAAGACGGACCCTTGAGGTACACCGAAGTTTAGTGATCTGACTGATGACACATCTTTACCTATCTGGACGTACTGTGTTCTTCCAATGAGATATGATTTGATGAATGATAGTGCAGTGCCTCTTATACCATAGCATTCCAACTTGTGGATTAACAGTTCATGAGATACACAATCGAAAGCTTTACTTAGGTCGAGAAACGTGGCTACCGTAGTATTCCCTACCTCCATCTGATCTGATACAAAGTCTACTAGTGTGATAAGTGCTTTTGTGGTGGACATGCCTGCTCTGTAACCAAACTGCCCAGGATTCAACAGTTTATATTTTTCCAGATACTCTACTAATCGGATTTTATATGCTTTTTCTAAAATTTTTGATAGTATAGGGATAATGGATATAGGTCTATAGTTATCAACTGAACCCTTATCACCTTTTTTAAAGATAGGTGTTAATCGTGATCGTTTCAGATTATCTGGAAAAATACCTTCTTCAAGACATTTATTAACAAAGTGTGTCAATTGGTCCAGTATGATATCTTTTATGAATTTCAATGCATCACTATTGAGTCCATAGCAGTCTCTAGATTTCGAGTTACTCAAGTCAGATATTATTTCCAGGATTTCAGATTCTGTAACTGGCGAGAGGAACAGGGAGTTTGAGACCCTATTTTTACTTAGATCATCTAACTCCTGGGTTATGCTGGTAGATATGTTATTCTTTGCTAATGTTTGTTCTGCAATATTTGTAAAAAAATTATTCAGTTCTTCACATGAAATTTCAATTTTGTCTTGTTTTTGATTGGTATTACGGTTCCTATTCACTATTTCCCATGCCGTTTTTTGTTTATTGCTTGAATTGACAATTTTTTGAGTATTTTGACTGACTATTTGTACCTTCACAGCCTTTTCATATTGTTTTTTGTAATTTACATAACTTTGTCTATAACTTCTATCCATTCTACTCAGATCATAGAGGAAGTTGAGTTGATTACGCAGGTTTTTCAGATTTTCATCAAAAACTAACTTTTTTGTCTTCTTGGTTTTTCTTTTCCTTAATGGAAAGCATTGATCATAGCTGCCTACAATATGATTTAGCAGTATGTTGGACATATTATTTGGATTTTCATTATTAAATTCATTCCAATTGATATTCAACACAGATTCTCTATAGTTCTGAATATTGTTATCATTGACTAATCTATATAGTTCCTCCTCTCTGGGACCAAATAATTCTTGTTCCATTTTGTATGTTAGATTTACTGCTCGATGATCTGATAGATGTGGTTCAGTCACCTGTACCATAGCTAAGTTTGGATCAATGTTACTGAAAAGATTGTCAAGTCTAGTGCAACATGTTCTACTTATCCTTGTATAATGTTGAACATGCTCCCTCATACCATATGTCATGAAAAGATTTTTCAAAAAATTAGAATCTGTTGATTGTAAAGCACAGTCTATGTTAAAATCACCAAAAAATAAAATAGTTTTATCTTTTGGTATTTGATTCAGATATTCTCCTAATTTATCCTGAAAAACCTGTGGATCCCCTTTTGGTGACCTGTACATACAGCAGATAACTGTTTTTGATTTATTTAAAGTTATTGAGCTCACTTCAAAATCTAATTCTCTATTAAATTCACTGGATGTCTGACAAACCTTATATTCTATGCCTTCTTTGACAAAGATTGCTTAAAGTCCCCAATTGCTGGAGATCTTTGTTCATGTAAATCGATGATATTGTTCATTCTGAGCAGCCTCTCCAACCATATCTTCTTTTCCAACCCCTCCACTAGATATCCATCTCCTTCATAACAGCTAGTGATATTTCTTGATGAATTCAATTATTTCTTCATACCTATACCATATTGTTGTAATAGCTGATTGCTTATATGGTTCCATTCCAGTCCATGCAAGTGTTGAGTGGAACATTTCGACTATTCCATATGTTTGAAAACTGTGGAATTGTTGTGTGATATCAATGATGAATACCACCATTGTCCATATCAAAATGGCAATTTCTCTGCACAAAAAGTTATTTTTTCTATACTGGAAACCTTGTACGTATTTCACGAAGTCAACACATTATTTAGTATTTCGCAAAATGATTTTGAAATAACCAATTTGCAATGAGTGCATACGGCAATGTTTTTGTTGTTCATACTCAGTTTGAAATGTGACGTTGATTTGACGTTTAATAGTGCCATCTATTGGTTCGTGATTTTCGCGAATAATAAGCGGGTGTTTTTTAGGTTACAGATTATCTACTCCTCCGCCTTCAGTAAATAGACCGGCACCACCACCCCCACCAGGTACGCCTCCACCAATTCCAGAACGGATGTAGCATCATATATGCATCAGTATTAATATATATTAAATACTAAATTCAATCAATTCGTATGGAGTTCCAAATAAACAAAGTTGTACCTCACATGTATATGTATAGGATGTTCTCGAAAGCGGGGCATTGTTTCAACAGGATGAAGAACTTGAAAAAATAGACAATTTCACCAAAAATTGACCACATAAAAATTGCAACATGACAAAGTTCAAAGAATCACCGATAGAATTGACCCTATATACGGGTGTCACAAGTTATCGTATACAGGCAATATCGCGCTTATTTGACAAGATAGTTGAAAAATTCGAAAACTTCATTGAATTGAATTGATGAAAATAATATCAACATTTAGTGACTTGTTTCAAGTTATTCAATTATCCTTATGAAAATGAAATATTGCCTCCGCCCATGTTTTTTGTTTCAAGAAGCCGATGCTTCTCATGTCATAATAATTTTGAACACTCGCAGTGATTTTCAGTTCATTTTTTGATTCGTATAAAAGCTATTTTGGTATAAATTCATAATTCATTGGATGTTGCTGTTTTTGTTATAATAATAAAAAATACCAAGTATATATATGCTATCGTTGTATTCCTTATAGGCTGGCACGCAACTTTCAATGACAATATACAGGGGGTGCTATTTGAAAATAAAAAGTTTGGCATAGCTGCCAGAGAACTGTCAAATGTAATGGATTTTTGTATATGTCATGAAGAACGTACTTCAATGCCATTCAATGCAGTTTTAGAATTTTTCAATTATCTTGTCAAATAAGTGAGAAATTGCCTGTGTACGATAATTTGGGACACCCGGTAGACCGGAAGATGGTGACACAAAATATTTGCTCATGGTATTTCAGGGGTCTAACTACTCTAATTACGTAATAACAAAAAGGAAAATGATGGTCATAGCGGCCTATGAACGTGGGCGTTAATCAAACGTGTCAGAATGATAACGAATGTCAACGAATGTCGGACGAATATTGTTCCACAAGTTATTATTATTATGTGATTAGGTGAACATATTGAATCAAGATTTGGTGGATCTGCCTGTTTCAATGAGCTCTATATATCTTATTAAAAAAATGACTCACCTTTGAGAACACCTTTTTTTATGAAGTCTTTATTAAATTTTTTATAACTCAAAATACATTTATGATGTTCAAATTTTCCAAATAAATAATATTGTTTGTTAATTATTTTCACTAATTCTAGGTGTACGGCGTTATAAAAGTGAAAAAAATTTATCACAACAGAGGTCTACTAACAAACTTCTACCTAGATTCTATGTTTTATCAATTCCGTAGAATTTCTGACGTCATCCTAACATATGTGTATGGTAAGATTGATAATATATGACTATTAGGTGTTATACACGTTGGCAAATCTTTATATGCTGATACTGATGTGATTTCCTCCCTCAATGTTGCTTCAACTGTTGCATACAATCATTAGTCCATGTCCAGAAGCGTAATGAAAATCAAATATACAGCGTGTCTCATTTCAAACGGCCCCCCCTCTATATCTCAGCTATCAGTCGTGCGATCTTTACCAAATTTGTATCGGTATGAATACAATACAAACATCATTTTAGACAGTGCCGTGCATTTTTATCGAAATGAATAAGGGTCAGTTTTTTATTAAATCATATTAAGCATTTTTCCACAGGAAAACTGACCTCATAATATTATTCTTCATGGTTTCAAACCCACATAATATGTGGATTTTCACAAAATGCCTATGAAGGGTTTAAGAAAAACAGGCACATCTAAACAGCATCTTTGCGAACGTAATAATTATTTACTCGGAAACGATGAGTTCAACATAAAGAAATATAACTCATGTTTCCTTCAAAATCATGATTTTCTACCTACCGGAGACATATTAAACGTTCCATAATTCATAGTTGATTTGAAGTCATTATTTATGCGAGACTGAAAATGAAAAAAATGAAGCCAATCCTGTTAATTCGGAATTAGGTGATTTTTTGCATATGAAGGTTCGAAAGCACGAGGAACAATAATATTAGATTTCCTGTAAAAAAATGTCTAATATGATTTTATGAAAAATCGACCCCTTTTTATTTCAATAAAAACGCACGGCACTGTCCAAAATAATGTGCATCTCTGTAAAACTGATCATATTGATGGTTATTTATACCACACCAAATTTGGTTGGAGTTGCATGACTAATAACTGAGATATAAAGGAGGGCCGTTTAAAGTGAGACACGCTGTATATATACAAGGTGTTTTTGAAATAAGTGCACAAATTCGAGCACATTCATATGATACAGTCTAAGGAATATGATATCAGAATTTTTCTTAACGAGAAATTTCATCCAAAAATTGAACAAAATAGGAAAAAAAAATCAAGTATGCCACTTTAAAACAATTTAAGTGATTGAACTCCGCGTGATTGTGCCAACCCTATAACCACAAATTTTATTTTTATCCCTATTTTTTTTAATAGTGCTATTCGATAGAACACGTCGAGCTTTCTAAGTGTTTGAAATATTTGCACTTATTTCAATGCCACCCTTTATATACTTATAAAAGTTGAGGACTGGGAGGGGTTGAGTAGAGTGGGGCCTTCAGAGCCTTTAATGGAAATTGAATCATATATCCTGCCATGCCATTACCAAAGTTTATAAATGTTTTCATATTCTTAATGGCTGTCTTCATACACGGAATGTGGTATTATTTTTTCGATTGGAGCACACAAAAGGGAATCCCTATAATGTTCGAAGAACAAGAAGGATAGGGAAAGGAGGTAGGCATTGGTGTATTTTTGAACTTTTGGAGATAATATAAGTGGGAATACTCCCTTATAGGTAATGAATTCCAGAGCTTTAATAATAAAGTATAAGGTACCGTGAAGTGAAGGTAAAGTAACTTCTAGGGAAAAAGCTAAAACAATTACCTATACGTATTAATGTGAATTAAAATAGTTTCCAATGGTTTCCAAAATTGATTTTCAAAGCATCTCTTCCCAAGTCATTAACTTGAATTCTCGTTCGACAATCATGCAGAGCAACTCATTCTCTACTATCTGATTTTTCGGATATATCTCTTAGCTTCCATTAGGGCTGCAGGGTTTCTGCGGAGGTGCTTCCAATTTTGTTATTTGTTTTTCTGTTTATCCATATTATTAGCTGCGCTTATAGTTGTTTTAGTGGCTGCTTTTCTGTTTCATTTGTGCCCAAGTATGTATATTATTCTCTGTTTAGTAAGTATAGGTAGCAAATGTTAGATCATATATATGAAGCAATTTTTGTTGTTTCAGCTTATGGATTGGATATATAGTAGGAAACCTACAGTCTACCAGCATCTGCACCTATATAGGTGTGTGTTGGTGAACAGATATCTATATAGAAAGCATGGATTATGATCCGGAAATTCTAAAATTCAGATACCACACATATTGTAACATAGGTATCTGGGTAGTACAGGTTATCTACTGCTTCAGGCAGTTCAGGCTTCAAGGTATCCATGTACGTCTAGAAGATAATGATACAGGATTTTTCTTGACAGATGATATTACCATTAATATTGAATAGAATAAGAATAGAATAGAATAAATTGGTACGAAAATAATGAAGCTTCATATAAAGTCGCTTCACTATGTGTTTGTATGTACATATAACATCAAGCAGCAGGATAAAATATACCTATAACTTTTTACACATTTGTAGTTTCAATATCATCACGTTAATAAAGTCTATCAAAAGTATCAAAAACGGTATTTAATTAACGGTCGAAGACAATTAATGTTTGGACTTTGGAGACTGACTGAATAATGAGCTATAGGTTTCCAGTATTATCTGAGACTAGTAAAACCATTAAAACCGAGATTAAAACCGTTCGTGATGTTCAAACTATTTTTTGTACGACCGATTATATATATATCTAATGTAGAAATATTCCTATAACTAGATCGATATCCTTTATTATTATATTCATAGTTGTTTTCTCATTCAATCTGTCATGAGATTTATTAGATACAAATGAGGTATAGTTATTTGTGTTCTTCATTTAAAATGATATGTCAACATCTACCAATTTATGACTCTTATCTAAAAAACTTATTTTTCTTCGAATGACAAAAAAAGTGGCTTTTCAATGACAGTTAACAGGCATAACAGTTGTACTTTTTCTGCCTAGGCAAAAAAAGTATTGCCTAGACAGGAACATTTTGTAGCTGTGCATGCAATGTTCCAAGTGGTGACTTGATTCAAATTAGTGATCAAAATTGGCAATAATGACTTTGGATGAACACACAATGATGTATTATTTGGATTTTTTGTGAAATTGAAACGAATTTGGCACATGGAAAAAAAGGAGAAAGGAAAAACGGTATGTATGGTGTGTTATCCATATATGCCTATCCTTAGAGCCATCCATATGGTCTAAACACAAGCTTCACAATTTTGCCAATAAGAAGATGCATGTACTGGAGAGGCCAACCAAAGGAAATCTTCACTGAGAATGGCACTAATTTTATTGCGCCGAGCGAAAAATGGAAGAATGGGTACAGGCATGAATCCAAACTCATCTCACCAATTTTTTTTTCTATGTAGGGCATATGTTATATGAAAGTGATGAGAAGATCGGTCGTAAGCATGGAGAGATAAGCTCAATGTCGTCTGGCAGAATCCTATTGCACGGATCAAAGAGTCCGAAATTGCATTCAAAAACAGAATACATAATAGAGATTGGTGACATCATCGTTATTGTTGACGAAAATCAGCAAGAAATCAATGACTACTATAGGTCGCGTAGTACAAGTATTAACCTGGTGAAGACCAGGGAAATTACACTAGACCAGTCGTCACCAAATTGTGAATATTGCCTATATACCTAAAGATTGATTGGTGAAGACAGGATGGTGAAGAGTATCTCTTCACCGAGGGGAGAATGTCGAATTCAGTTTATATCACCTCGATGTTCTATGATGATTTACTTATGTCAGTTCAATTCTATTCAGCTTTCCATGGAGATTCCAGAAATCGAATAATATCTAGGGTGAATAAATTGTCGCAGACGTCTATCGTTACATTTTGCAATTGCAATTGCATTACCTATCGTTGGTCCCAGCACTGGGACCAAACGCCCCATAAGTCGAAACTTGTGCGGGGTTAGGTAAGCAGACAAACACAAACATCCATGGCCTAAAACTAGGATTCGAACCTATGTCTCGGAGGGAGTCCCCATACGAACTCAGCGCCTTCACGCTCTCGACCACCGAGCCGCCGAGCAGCCGACATTAGTCAAACGTTGTTTGGAGATTCCTCAGAAATAGATAGTTTGGCTTGAAATGGATCTATTCCATACTTTATACGGACACACATGCTGTATATCGTTCTGGGAACGTCCAAAGTTACGTTGGAACGTTTTGGGAGATCCATATATCATAGGTTCATGTTAAGGACTTGATGGACAAACATTATTGAAATAGCGAATCACTATATCAGTCCCAACAGTGAATGCCTCAACAGTATTTTCTTCAATAAATCACTTGAAAAAAGTTGGTGGAGTACGGAGGAATTCGAAGCCAGGACCTTTGGCATATCATGCAGACACGCTACCCACTGGCCATAATTTTATGAAGTTATTGTGGATGAATTCGTTGAAGATTAAAAGAATACATTTTTGAAAGAACGCTCGAAGCCGTAAAATATTATTTTTTCGACCGTTGTTCAAAATTCAATCAATACAAACAGAAAGATTCGTGTAGGAGAAATTACGCCATAATTTCGATTCCAGCTTCTCATAGAGGGGAAAATAATTCAATAATTTTTATATATATAGGGTGTTCCGTTTGAGAAATCGACCTATTTCAGCAGATTCCTCAGAAATATGGATAATTTGGCTAAAAATGAATTCATTCAGTAGGTACTTCACGAAAGCACTGTATATACAAACATATATTTAGTGCAACAGACGATGAAAAGGTAAGAAATCGACTGATTTTTCTTATTTTGTCGAATGGAAGAATATATACGACTTTGTAGGGACGTCATTAAGACCTCCAGTGTTAAACGTCAATAAGACGTCCTGAAATATTACGTCATTTTTATGTCATATTTTGATCAAAAGACGTCGTGGACCAAAAATTACGTAGAATACACGTCAATATGACGTATTTTTAAGTCACTCTATACTACGGGCGAAGCTTCATTGCGATTTTCGGGTAATATTGAATTCGTTCCAACAGACACAATATAACACAGATTTCACAGATGAAAAAGGGCACGGACGGACACAAGACTGTTTTCCATTCGTCGCACTCTGGTGTGATCTTTTGTTTTTGTATCAGTATCACTTTATCACAGAATGTAATTAGTATAAGGAAATATATACACGCACTGACTGCATAAATTCATCCCAGTGGAAGAAGGTGAGAGGTGTGAGCGATATAAAATATATTGCTTCCATACATATACTTTGGTGTCGTCGTACGTCCTCGGTATGTCCAAAATAGAGACTGGGACGTTCGGTTAGAGTGAATAATGACCCAATACACAGCCGTCTTCAACTTGAAGACGGCTGTGTCCATAATAGGATCAGCCGAGGGTAACAAAATTATTCCGGTTATTTCAGGGTTTGAAATGAAAATCTGATAGGGCGTCACTTATTACCTTTTATTTGACGATGCTCACGCCAGTACACAACGAACACTAATGAATAACATTCTTGAGGCAATATCAACCGTTTCTTACGATTATACAACATCAAACATGATTCGAACATACCGCTGATGATTCACCCATAAAAAATGTAGTATAATATACCGAATATATATCCATTCGTAAAGTAATTAAAAAATTCCTACACCTATATAATAATAATTAACAAAAATAATGAAAATAATGATAACAATCTTTGAAATGAAGAATGTATATGAGAGTATCGTATTCAGGAGCTTCTATAGATTAATGAGTGTTGATCTATTGATGACACACGGGGTTATGTAAAAGGTGACTGGTATTTTGGATGTATAGAATTTATCGATGTATGAGTAATATTAAGTAGTTAAGAAGTAGCCGTGATACGGCTAGGTTGTATCTGATACCCATTGTGAATATAGTGGAAATCGTGGAGTACCCAGAGTGATGTTTTATTCTAAGAACCGGCCACCAAGCTAACATGATGATAAATAATCCTAGCATTAACTATAACATAATTATGTATAATAAATTGAGGCGTTACAAAATGTCAAGCTCATTTCGAAAAACAGAGCGGTGAGACAATTTAATGAATGCGTAAATCACACATATGCATGCCAATAAGCATATAGCCAGTATAGTTGTTTTTCTCTCGTTATCTACCATTTTCCTTCATTGTATGAACTATTGTGGTCATGATGACTTTGAGTTTCTTCCTCTTTCTGATATAATTGTTGTTGGTTTTTTTAATTTCTCCACTATCGCAAGACACTCCAAATCTCGACATTTCCATAGATTAGATTGTTTTTACTAACAACGCGAGATTGTCAAAAATTTACATGAACGCCATCAAAGATCCGTTCACAATAATTATTGTGGTTGCCATATGGATTCAAATGTTAAGTTCCTTTTTGTCGCTGATGGAAAAGTTAGGGCAGTTCGATGTCAGAACGAAGAGCGGCATCAAACATATTTTTTACATGAATTAAATTGTCACTTACCGAAATTTTGTTCGAGAACACGAATATTTTGAAAGTTTTCCCGAGTTTTTAATTGAAGCTAGAATATGGTATTCGGTAAAAAAATTTCACAACGAAATATTATTAAAAAAATAATAGGATAAGATTACGGTGAATTAAGAACAAAATACTGACCTAAAAGTTACGCAAAATATCAATTTTACAGTTGGTGGTAGTACAAAACGAATATTATTCATGGATAATTATACACTATATATTTTACGAAGCATATAAGAAGCATTCATTATAAATGAATCCATATAACGAAAGCGATTTATTCTTGTCTATTATAGGTACTAAGATTATCCATAATGTCAAACTGACAGATTTTTCTTCGTTATCCCTGATTACATCATCAACAGTAAAAACACAAGAGCTTTTTTTTTATCGGATAAAATTCTCTTCCTAACGAAAACATTTGCCAATCAGTAATTTTTGGAGAAAAACTGATATGAAAAAATTGCGAGACCGTAGGTCGAGCAATTTTGTCTAATGTCAGTTTTTCGAGCGAAATTACTGATGGAAAATGTTTGAGTTAGGAAAGAAATTTATCCATTAAAAAAAAGTTCGAGTATTTTTTGGCATGATAAATCATCGACAATGTATAAATAAATAACAACAATAATTAACTTTATTGAAAAAACTATCTGAAGGAGCAGTTATTAAAACTACAATTTTTGAAAATATTATGGTTTGGTGTCGAAATTTCTATATTTTCTTCTCTGATGGTTTCGACACATGTCGAATATTCGTTCGTACACTTCGTAATATCCGATAATCGTAAGTTACTAACTAGATTTTCGTGATGTTCAGGGTCAATTTGTAAATAGGGTTTGATCGATGCTGAAGAAGAATGTCCAGTTATTTTTATGAGCTGCTGGTCACTTATTCCTGCTTTGGCTAACTGTGTAACTGTACTAGCACGGTTTGAATGATTGGTAATTTTATTAGTTGTGGTGTCAAGGCCAATTTTTGTTGCTGAAATTTTGGTCCAAGAAGATATCATGTTAATTCCCAGTGGAACATTTTTAAACCAACCTTTAGAATTTTTGTGCCTCCAAAAAGGGTTTGGAGTTAAAAAAAGGCGTTCAGATGTTATGTTTTCGTTTCTTCTTTCTAAAAGTAATTTTAATAACCTCACTGGACAAATAGTTTCATCGATTTGATTTTTTGTTATCCATTTGCTGTCTGCCAATCTTTTTGACCCACCTTGTGCCGTCTTAGAAAATATTGTATTATATTCTATTCTACCTAGCTGTAGTAGTTCCATCTTGATTTTTCTCTTCTTTGAAATAGTATATTTTACAGTTCACAGCTTCTCCTCCCCTCCAAGCTAATTCATAAGAAGCTGTATGGAAAAATCTTTTTTGCAATCCATCTGGTTCATTTACATTCCATAGTTTGGCCATTTTTATGATATCATTCTTATCTATTGCAACAGAACCTAACTTTCTCTTATCCGGAATAGCTTGTAATTCTTTCCAATTCGTAATTTCTGGCTTCACAAAACTCCATGAATTGTCTCCAAATCGACGATTTCGTGTTTTTAGTTGCTTGCGGAATTGTATTTTTTATACATTTCGAGATTTCTTCCGAAGAAATTTCTCCAAATCGGCTCATTTTGCGTATTTTCGTATTATACAATACCTATCCATCAAACATGACAAGACAGAAATTGAAGTGACGGTCGCATACTCGATGAAGGAACATGCATTTTTACAGCGATAAAAAAGGATGCACCTTTTTTATCGATGTCAAAATGACTCACGTCGCCTTCAAATAGGGTTTTCCGTGTAGGAGTTGATTTATCGTTGGAAACACCAACTCAGATATAGACTTATCAGAATTGAAAGACAGCGGCGGTCGTTTCGCGATAATAACAATAATAAGTTGTCTTCGGTTTCTTATTGGTCGGATTATGTGAGAATTCTAAGAAGAGTGGAATGATGTTATTTCACATATAGTTTGACAAATGAGTCTAAAATTTTCAGGAACTTTATTTCATTTCATCATAATTTTCTTGTTATATAGTTATATACATAGAGTACACTACTATATACGTTCTATAATTTGTTCTTTGTAATGAAGAAGTGTATTTATTCTGTTCCATCAATGCTTTTTCATAAAAATCCGTTTCATTTTTGAAAATTTCATCAGATTTTGAACTCCCTAACTAAACAACAACTCGGCGAAATCTCGATATTTTTAGAGATGAATATTCATACATTGCATTTTAGCATGCCTTTCGACACGAAATTGACCTGTCTGGGAAATACGCCCGGCCTGATTTGTACTTTCAGTCCGGCCCTGCCTACGCCCTATGTTTATGTCTAAATCGCGCGATAGAGTTTGACAAGAATGACATTTATAATGTCAAATGTCAGGCTTTTCCTGTCAATCCTGTCTATCGTCTATTACCTTCTGATACAAATCTGTTACCTTTGGCAAACGAAATCTTGAATCTTGTACGAAAAATTTAGACCCACGATTCAGGACTCAGGACAGGAACCAATAAGGCAACAAGAACTGGCAGGAGCAGGAACAACACTGGAATTACGCAATGTCCTTCCCATAATATCTATAATCTTTCCAAGATGCAAGATCTCACTAGATTTTTCTTCCCAATGAGTGTTTCAATCTCCACCGATATATCAGGATTTGAAAAATCCGTAGATCTGGTGAAAAATCTGTAGGTTTATGGGTTAGCAACCCTGTTATGAGTCATGCGCATATCACACTCTTACAAACAAAAATCATTCAATTTAATTCTCGGCCATGTTCGTTGATAGCTCTCATCAGTGGTGAAGATTTTGGTTGTTTTCTTTGTGAAATTTCTCGAAATTCCGGCCTAAAATGGCGGGGAATGTGGGAATGGAGCAGCTCATTCCAATCGTGAATAAGCTGCAAGATGCTTTCACACAACTGGGTGTTCATATGACTTTGGATTTGCCACAAATTGCTGTAGTGGGCGGACAGTCAGCAGGAAAAAGCTCAGTTTTGGAAAATTTTGTAGGCAGGTAAGTACCTAATTGTTTTACTATTAGCCTACATTTGTATGTTCATTATTATGTTTTCACCCAAATTATTTATTGATTGAAATCCTCATACTCAATTTGAATTTGACTTCTGACACATTGACCTGGGCTATTGACCATTCAATTTTCTTTTAAAGCAAATACCTATCACAATTTCTGCTAATACCTTCTAGTCTTCTAACCTACTTTCATCTGATCTCTATCAATTTCCTGGATGAATGTTTCAGTAAGTGAAGGAGGTCTTTTATGTGGGTTGTGGGTCAACTATTGATTTTTTTGAATAAATGTGATATAGAGTTGAATGACACAGTCCCACACCATTATCTTCTTTCAGGGACTTCCTTCCTAGAGGTTCAGGAATTGTGACTCGTAGACCACTAATTTTGCAGTTGATCCATTCAAATACTGGTAAGAAGATAAACATCTCTATAACTTGTTGGCAGGCTTTTAATTTGATGAGCACAACATTCATATTTTACAATTTGGATTAAATCAGATGTTCAGACTATGGAACTGAAGTCAAAACATAATGCTATTTTCTGGTTTATCATTTGTACCTACTTAACAGGAATGAAAAATTCATTTTCATGTACTCATGTATGCATAATTATGTAAACAAACCTATGCATTGTGGTCTCAATCTTTGATTTTTGAAGAAGTGTCTTATTTTAACATTTGGATCTGCTCTATTCTTCTTATTCCATCTACTAAAAAAGTTACAGGTTCAGGTTTAGTTGGTACTATACATTCATATCTACTTATTAAATAATGAAATATTTTCATATATGCTTCTCTTGTGCTATGTTGTTTCACCTGGTCAAGATAATGCTGTAACAAAGTTGCAATAATATTACAGAATATGCTGAATTCTTGCATTGCAAAGGAAAAAAATTTGTGGACTTTGAAGAAGTCCGCAGGGAAATTGAAGCAGAAACAGACAGGGTCACTGGAAGTAATAAGGGCATCTCCAACATACCCATTAACCTGAGAGTTTATTCACCAAATGGTAACTAAAATCTATCTATCTCCTACCTTTACTGATGATTATTCTTCATTTCAGTATTGAATCTAACACTTATTGATTTACCTGGTTTAACCAAAGTACCAATTGGTGATCAACCAGTAGATATTGAACAACAAATCAAAGGAATGATAATGCAATTCATCAAGAGGGATTCTTGTCTCATTCTTGCTGTGACTCCAGCTAATACTGATCTTGCCAATTCTGATGCTTTGAAATTGGCCAAAGAAGTAGATCTGCAAGGTAAGGTTGCCATCAACTTATTGTTTTCTGCTTGGGTTGTGGTAGGTCTTTCAAACATAATATCAGAATACATAATCAATAATCATGTCATCATTTCTGAGTTACTAGGTGTTTTTCAAAAATGTGCATATTTGAAAAAGGTGTAAACTCATTCCAAAGCTTACAAAAAATAGAAACCTGTGCTCCAATTGAAAAAATGGATCTGTAGATTTTCATTCTTTTAGGGATCACTGCAAAATTTTCTAGTGAGGGCAGTGAAAAAGCCTTATTCCCATTTACATTCAACATCTGAATACTATATTGCTTTTTGCCACTTCATATCAGCTCAATATTCTCAGGAAGGTGGTTCTTATTCTCTTTAAAAGATCTGATTCAAGAATTTCTTTGATGTGGCATATTTAATTAAATTATATGAATTTTGGTTTTGTGCTTTCTGGATAAGGGATGAAGCATATAATTTCTAGTATGAATTAGTGGCCACTGATATTTTATTTTTTGATAAAACTCATAATTTGACATACTGTTTCCACAATACATCTTGATATTTTCCCAATGATTCAAACTGATTTCATCAATTTGTTCAAATTGAAACCCAAAAATGCAATCAAAGTATAATAAATCATTCAATCAAACAACAAAGCCCAACTATCTACTCACCATTTTAATAGAAAAACAACCTAGAGATATTTTTACATACAAATTAAAATTGATTTTTGAATGAATTTTAGCTTTTTGTCCAGCCAAACTCAGAAATTTGCTTAATGCTTTATATTTCATTGGTGCTGCTCCCAAAAATCAAGCCTGTCATTGTTGAATTTGAAGAAAATAATTGAGGTTTCTTTCTTTCAACACCTAAAGAGGAGGATGTTTCATAAAAATTGTCAATCATTTTACTATCTCATAATCTCAATCTAATTTTTAACTCATTCTGAACCATCTTAAACACTTGAATAGTTCCCTACTATGAAATACATGAGGTACCTAATACTTCAACAATAGAACATTAGCAGATAAAAAAGTAAGCAACATTCAGGTTGAGCTTTCCAACTAATCCCTACTTGTCAAAATTACAAAATAGTTTTGGAAGAATTGGTGTTCATCCATTTTTTTCATGTTCATAATATATCTGGAAATATTCCTTTTCAAAACATTATGAGAATTGTTCCTCAGAAATTGATGAATGTATATGGTAACAGATTCAAAGAATATCATCTATTAACTTACTAGGATAGATATCATTGAACACATCCTGCAGATTCTTATGACCTCATCAAACTGGTATTTGTCCAAGGATCCATTGCCCATTTCATTTTAAGGACAAAAATTGATACTCTTTCTACATGAAGATTTCACCTTGAACACAAAAATTAAATAAGTGAATTTTTTTATCTTTTTTTTTTCAAATACTGTCTGTTAATTAATCAAGGAGGTGTTACATTCATTTTACTTGATTATTTGGGATTTTCTCTTTCTATAAAATAGAAATATGAGTATTATTATTTCAATGTATGTGTAGTAGAACAAATCAGATGATTTGTTCTACTGTCACTGCCTTTAAAAAATTGTTATATCTGGGTGCCTAAAAGATAAATCCAATAGCTTGTCAGTGACACTTTGTTTGGAAATATGTCTGAAGAAAAGAAATATAGATATATTGATAGAGAAAATCCCAAATAATGGAGTAAAATGAGCTCTTTTTTTTTACTTTGAATTTCATTGATCATTCTAGGCATAAGAACAATAGGTGTTATAACAAAACTAGATCTCATGGATGAAGGCACTGATGCTCGTGATATTCTGGAAAATAAACTGCTGCCTCTGAGAAGAGGCTACATTGGTGTTGTTAATCGTTCACAAAAAGATATTGAAGGTAGAAAAGACATTAATGCTGCATTAGCAGCTGAAAGAAAATTCTTCTACAGGTAAAACATTCTAATTCAAATTAGCTGCAATTAAATGTCCATGAAATTGTTAGTTTCAGCCTATGACCTTCATAATATGAAATTAAAATACAGTAGATTCATTTTGATTATTTTCATGGATCTTACAGTTCTATGAACATTCCTATTATCAGTTATTGCAAATCCATTTTGTTAGTTTTTTCCTGAATGAATTTGAGTGCCTGTTGATTTGATGATATTTTTTTCAGTCATCCCTCATACCGCCACATAGCTGATCGCCTGGGGACACCTTATTTACAAAGAGTTTTAAATCAGCAATTGACAAATCATATTCGCGAGACCTTACCTAGTTTAAGGGACAAATTACAGAAACAGCTACTTACCTTGGAAAAGGATGTGGATCAATTCAGACACTTCAGGCCAGATGACCCTGCCATTAAAACTAAGGCAATGTTACAGTATGTACTATTTTTGGTCCTACTACAATAATTAATAAATTGTGGAATAAATCAATTTCATTGTACATTTCACTCCACTGGATTTACTTGAATCATAATTAAAAAACAAAGAAAGTATAGAGATCAAAACAATATGCTCTTGTAAATATCCAAAAAATTCTCACAATACCTGTATACTGATTTCTTTAGGATGATTCAGCAACTTCAGGTGGATTTTGATAGAACAATTGAAGGTTCTGGATCTGCTCAAATAAACACCATGGAACTTTCCGGCGGTGCTAAAATCAACCGATTATTCCATGAACGGTTCCCATTTGAAATTGTCAAAATGGAATTTGATGAGAAAGAATTACGTAGAGAAATTGCATTTGCTATTAGAAATATTCATGGTATTAGGGTGAGTTTGTAGTTTGTGAAATTGTCTTGTCTACAAATATCACAAAAGTATTTCCATCCATACTTTTGATCAATATTGGTTTTTAGGTTGGCTTGTTCACTCCTGATATGGCATTTGAAGCCATTGTTAAAAAGCAGATAGCTAGATTGAAGGAGCCTTCTTTGAAATGTGTTGATTTGGTTGTAACTGAATTATCAAATGTTGTAAGAATGTGTACAGATAAGGTAAACAAAAATACCGTAGCCCTACTTCTCTCCCATTTTCATAATCATTCATCAAATGTGACCCATCTATATTTGAGACTGTGCAAAAAATCAAACCTGTATTCCATTAGCAAATATGGGATTGTCTTTATCTCAAATCAAATAATATAGGAGGAATGCTCACATCAACTTCTTTATGGTATCCTATTTGGAACAAGATATTTATGTAAATTCCAGAAAACAACTAACAGAAGAGCTGGCATTAATATTGATCCATTTTCAAATCAGCAATATTATAATTATTCTACTATTCTAGTTATCAGTAACCTAGCAAATCAATGTTTTTTTAAATGTTTAACATTTTTGATTGGTGGACACAATGACATAAATAACAAGAGAATTCAATTGAATAAAATCAAAATAAAGCATATTTTATTTGTCCTAAGAAGAGTAATCTCAACAAAGCATTAAATGTGTCATCAATCTAGGTTATTGATATATATATTCAATATTTTTTACTGTTTTATATTTTCAGATGTCACGGTATCCACGGTTGAGAGAAGAAGCTGAAAGGATTATTACAACTCATATTAGACAAAAAGAGCAGTACTGCAAAGAACAACTTTGTCTCTTGATTGACTGTGAATTGGCTTATATGAATACAAATCATGAAGATTTTATTGGATTTGCAAAGTAAGTGATCTAGCCTGTGCTTTACTCAAAATGCATTGTTGTAAGTGAGGCACAACTTTATTGTAAGTCTTAATTGATTATGTGTCAATTCAAGTTGAATTTACAGTGATTTTCTTAAGTCCTGCTAACTTTTGAACAGTTCAATATGAAAAATGTCATATTGGATGATTTGAACTAAATTCTAGATCATCCTCATAATTGTGAATGATTGCTCCACTTCTCATGTTATTATTATATACTTGAAATGATCAGGATATTTCGATGGTGCAGTTTGGTCCAACAATCCAAGACGTGAAAACTTCTTTTTTCTTCGAAATTTTCCGTTTTCTGGTAATTCTATGACTATTGATTTAATATCAATCATTTGTTCCAGTCAATGCTTCATTAAACAATAAAAAAAACTGAATTATTTGATGTCATCTTTAGTAACTTTCCAGTTTTTTTAATGCATTACCACAACAATACTTATTTCTTCTAGAGTGTTATTGACTATGTTACAGTTGCCAAACAGTTACTTTCATTTAGAAATAAACCAAATAGATTGTGCATTACCGATCTCCACCCTTTGCTTCTCAACAAGGAGTATTTCACCTTGTCACTCATAGATAACCTTCTCTAAGTGAATAGAATTTCAGGTTTCATTGCTCTCATAAGGTTGGTTCATCTTGTTAGTGTAAGCACAGTTAAGTGAATTATATACCAGCAGCCGCACTCCTTCAAAAGTTCAAAACATCATTCCTCCTGCAGTATGCCGACCGCCGTCTGTAGTATCGGGTCGACCAAAAAATTGCATGGCATCTTTTGATAGCCGAGTGTTAACGGTGTCTCGGGGTGAATTTCAATTATTTGTGATTGATATTGATTCTCTGTTGAAATGAGAGGTAAGTATATTTGCACTAAAGTATTTTGATACGTCCGATGGTGCCGATTTACTTCATTTATTAATTTATCCATAAAAAAAAACATATTCCTCACGGAATAAGATCTGGTATGATGAGGTACATGATTATAAACCTATTGGTAAACATTTCATCATTCAGAATACATAAATAAAGCAATATAACCAAAAAATTGGCCAACAAAGAACAACATTCTTAGCAGTTACCTCACTCTTAATCTCTGTTTTAAAAAAATAAAATGATTAACAATTGTCTTGTTCCTTGTGGAATAAGTAGCCAGTGCCGGCTTTTCATCGTTTATTGCGTTGCTACTGTTATGCCACTATATTATTTCATGCAGTGAAACATTTGGGTTAGCCGATAAGCCATCTGAATATACACCGAAAATCACGAACTAATTCTGGATCATCGTCAAAACGCCTTTTTACGTATAGACCGTGGGCCCATGACACCACAAGTGTCGATAGCATATGTTCGTATGCCCTTTTAGAGATATACTCAGACAGCCCGCGGAACCAGTAAAAAGTGCCTCCGAGCTTCTATGACCAGTCCTTGCACATGCTATGACCTCTACTTCCGGTTGAAAAATGGGTTAAGCATTCGACGAACGAGGAAGCTCGGGCATGTGGATACATTATCTTATCTTGCGCTAGTTGGTTTGCATACGTCTAGGTCGCTACTGGAAGGAGACTTACGAACCGGAAGTGACAATTTTCCACTGGCGATAGGCGATAATCAAGGAAAGTATGCCCTTTGGTGGAACGACTCCTTTCGACCCATTAATCACTATTCCGACCTCCACATACGATTTCCGAGAGGGCATCTCGATTTACCAACATCAACTGACCGGACTAACTAGTCCGGTCGGAGTTTTTTCATTTTCCATTAACACTCGAAATTGGGACTTTCCATCTTTATCATTATATGTATTTTCTCGGTTGAGTAACCGACAAACATTATGACTTGACTCCTATGTATGATTGCCTTCGGACATTTCCGTATACAAGGAAAGACAATGCCAGAGGACGAACGGGGAAATATGGACACTGTATAGTACCATCCTGCCAGCGATGCTTCGTATAGCGCATGATTTCGAGTGACTTCGGGAATTGGAAGGATTCTGCCGCCTGGTGTGTGATGAGAACTCGACCTTCCTTCCGATTGATCAACGGATGACCCGTTAGCTCAATTGGCAGAGCGTTGGGCATGTAACCCAGAGGTTGTGAGTTCGACTCTCACACGGGGCGGTGGAGTTTCTTCATTTTTCATTGTCAATCGAAATTAGGGCTTTCCATCTTTTCGGTTGAGTAACCGACAAGTAGTAGTAGTAGTAGTAGTAGTAGGTGGGGAGGCTGTAGCCAAGCAAGTAGGCCCCGATGGGCCCTTTTTGCTGACCCCTGCTCTCCACATATCTACGTTTCTTCCACCTGGAGTAAATAATCAAGAGGACCGTTCAAGCAAGATTTCCCTTTTCAGTGCCCAAAATCAGTCCGAAAATGCAGCTGCCAAGGGCACGCGTGGCACCCTCGGCAACCAGGTGATCCGAAAGGGCTACATGTGCATCCACAACCTGGGCATAATGAAGGGCGGCTCGAGGGACTACTGGTTCGTTCTCACCTCGGAGAACATCTCTTGGTACAAGGACGAAGAGGAGAGAGAGAAGAAGTACATGCTGCCCTTGGACGGCATCAAGTTGCGGGACATGGAACAGGGCTTCATGTCCAGGAGGCACATGTTCGCCATTTTCAATCCCGATGGCAGGAATGTATATAAGGCAAGTTTGTGAATAAACAGGAATGCCAGTGGACTGAAACCAGCCTACAGGTGGTTAGGAATGTCTGACTCAATTCAAGCACAATTTAAATCATTTCATAGATTATGGGAATTTGGAATGTTCTGCATGATATAAATGGAGATAATAGCTGTTTTCTTTGTGTATCATTGTTTGTCTTTATATTTACTGAACTTACACTGGAAATCACCCGTTTTTTGCTTCTTGTTGTTGCTTCTCATTAATATTCTCGAATTTGATGTCACTAATTATATATCCAATTTCTTTTTTAATTTGAAGGACTACAAACAATTGGAATTGAGCTGTGAAACCCTAGATGAAGTGGATTCTTGGAAAGCTTCATTTTTGAGAGCAGGAGTATATCCTGAAAAAACTACAGACACTTTGAATGGTGAAGAGGTGAGTTTCATTATCATTAATTTTCTTGAGCATACAATCAAACAGTTGAGATGATTATGTGAAATTGATACTGTATACAATACACACAAACACAAAAACTGCTTTCTGATTATTTTTTTTTGCATTTTAGAAAATTTCTTCTAATGTAAGTTTATTACTTTTTTTATTATTATTTGTAGTGAGCGTCATTGTATTTTCTGCTTTATGTCAAGGTATAAAGACAAATATATTTTACTTGCACCAAATTTTACCAAACAAATCAATGATTAAGTTGAATATATAAATAATTTTAGATGCTATAGAGAGTCAAACTAATTAGTTTCTCATCATCCAATATTTGAACATGGATAAATGTTAGATTTGTGGCAAAGTTGTCCTATTTGTGCTCAAATGATTTATGTCGAGACATTTTTGGATATCTAACGATTCCTGGAATATCCAAGAGAATGGAAAATCAGTTATTTTTCCTTCAATTTTTGCTAGCAGCAAATTACAGAAGTGCTTCAATTTGAACGTCCTATCTCACAGTTTCCTAGGTTCCAATGAGGAGAAACAAATTGGTTCCACCCTGTACATGCAATACTAGAATTGTTCTCTATAATTATGGGCTAGACTTTGTTTATACCTTGTGATTGCTTCTAATTTGAATGTGTTTGTGTGTTTTGCTTCTGGGTGCTGCAGGGAGGTGATTACCAGGTTTGTGAATTGAAAAAATTTATAGTGCACCTCAATCACTTAGGTAAACAATTTCATCACAATGGAAGGGCAAAGTTTCCTAAAATTATTTTTCCATAAGGTTGATGAAAAAAATATGAATTTATTTTCTATTCACTTCCGGCAACCGATTTCCACTTCAGTTCCGGCTATTCCATCATGAATTACAGTAGACCACTTCTACTACTATTTCTTTGCTCCAGGTGTTACATCTGACTTTGGAAAGACTATACCATCTTTTGACCCATGAAATCCATATTTACCACAATATAACAATCAGTTTAGAAAAAATCAAGTAGACAATAATTATCCATAATTTTTTTCTATAACCTTCGAAAGACAGTGAAAATGAATCACCTGCTACATTTTGGACAACTGCGCATTCGCTCGCAGAAAATCTTAGAAACATCAACGGGACTGTTTAGGCCCTGGAAGGAGGGAAACATATCCTTGAAAGTCTAGTAAAACTTTATGAGACTCAGAACGTATTTTGAATTTTTTCAAGAAATTTCATTCGTTCACGCCATTTATCATCGAGTTTGGAAATCTCATGCTTTGATCTCACATTCGATTGTTTGTATCGAGAGTTGGTCTAACGGTCTGATGAAAAAATAGAAGAGTGGGCCCACCATATCAACATATCAATGAGGGGTAACATTGTCAGTTTCACCAGTTGGCGTTACTAAAGCGTGAGATAGATGTCAAAGCAAAAATCCCATAATATTGCCGGATAGCCCTGAAGACTAATAATTGGTAATATTCATATTTAGCAATACAAAATCAATTGTCTCAGTGTAAATAGTAATTAAATTGAGACTAGAAGACATTCAAAGCGGTAAACGTGACAACACGGCGCAGGAATTATGGCCGTGGTCTTGTCAGTTCTCAGCATTCAGCACAATGTTGCCAAGTCACCAACATTTACATTTAGAAGCTGTTTCAACACGCATTTGAAGTTTACAAAAATGTAATTAAAAACACAAAACAGGAAAAAATCTATGACATCTTCTCAGTCTTCGGGCGAAAGCCAGACCAGCTCGATGGACCCGCAGCTGGAGCGACAGGTCGAGACGATCCGCAACCTCGTCGACAGCTACATGCGCATAGTGACGAAGACGACGCGCGACTTAGAACCGAAAACGATCATGTAAATGATCATCAATCAGTCTGAGCTTCATTCTGCGAAAAATCGGACTGACACCGACTCTCAAGCTTCATAACCTTGATACGAGATTTATTACAAATCGGTCAATGAGATGAAAATACTCTGTAAGTCAAAAATCCAGCATTTGAACGCGCCTTTACTCCCGATGAAGAAGATCTTATCATAACTTCAAAAATGACTTGGTGATAACTGCGAAATTTCTAATCAAAAAGATCGCATCTTCAAAGGAAGTTACATATCGATAATAATAATAATAGCGCCTTTATTCATTTAAAAATACATTTGAATTACAATGTTTTTAAGTGTTGGCGACATTCGGCTGCAGCCGTTCTTCCATGTACTCCAAAGGTACTGTTTCGACCTCAGAGTAAATAACAATGAATAGACATCGCAATTCTTTCATAAATCATTGAAATGTATACGTCGATAATCCCAAAACCCCAACACGGGTAAACGAATGAAATTGATAATACTGGGGATAACATTGCGGTAACTTTATAGATATATTTTATATTTCTAATAAATCGATATTTCAATGAATGTGTGAATGTGCATTAATAAATACAATAATAAGTCATTTTTTGATGTCCTCATGAAGTTGTTTGATAGTTTCAATATTTTGAACACGCTTTTCATTGAAAAAAAAACAGGCCCTCAAACAAGACCGCCGCTGGACCAAATTTCTAAGTACTTGAGAAATATAAGGTTAGGATATTCTTAACTAACTTTTCTTTATAGATTTGACACTGCCGAATCATATTTATTTATTCACAAAATATTCTCGTTAAGATTTGTAATATTATGAGGTACTGAATCACCGAAAACTAATCACACGACAGCCGGAAAACCATTGATAAAAACAAAGACAAATGGGATCAAACGATTATTGCTCGTCTACTATGGTGCCGCCACGTTTATCTTTTAATAATTCATATGTTTCCATTTTAAGATGCACCTCACAATAGCTAATAAGTTTATGATAATCAGTGCCGGATTAGCCACGTAGCAAGAGTAGCAAATGCTACGGGCCATACAAATTGGGGGGCCCCGCGCTCCAAAGCCTGTCCGGCCTTGTCCGGCTTGTCTTACTGTAAAACAAATTGCATCAGATCTGTACGACTGTGAAGAATACTATCAGCAAAAAACATAGGGACGAATCACGCGATATACAAAGTACGACCATTTCAGCGGCTCTCTTCTACACCGTTACCATCGAGACAATATCGATGGTAACTACTACACTCGACGACTTGGTTGAAAATCAAACACCTGGACAACGGTTTGAAGTTTATTATTCCATTATTGATAACGTACTGTCTGCTTCAACTGAACGTTTGAAAGAATTTCATGAAATTACTAGTGTTTTTGGAGTATCTCTTACGACTAAAGAGATTTTGGGAAAATTTAAACGTTTGAGAGCATTACATGACATTATAAGTGTTTTTGGAGTGAAATCTCTTACAACTAAAGAGATTTTGGAAAAATTCTCAATAATGGTCAGTGCCTACACAGATGATTTGAAAACCAAACAAGAGCCTCTGGAACCGCAATTTTATAAACTTTCATTGAATAAATCTTTAGGTTCTAGTTTCCCAAACATGCGAATTTACGTGTATCTCATGATCGCTAACTGTATAGTGGCGAACGTTTTTTTTTCAACATTGAAACGTATTAAAAATGAGCTGAGGAACACGATGGGCCAAGAACGTCTCAATCATCTCACTTTGATAAATATGGAGCATGATTTGCTTGAAAAAGTCGATATTGAAAGTATTATCTCTAAATTTGCCCATATAGGTATATCCAGAGAAGTTTATTTGTAATAGTTTTGTTTCATTTTATTCGGTACTCTAAACTTGATAACCTAATACAAACTAAGGGCCCCTTGATAGAATTTGTTACAGGCCCCGCGCTGGCTCAATCAGGCACTGTGAAGGTTATTCTATTTTTTGTCATGAGCTATTCATGCCGAGTTCAATAAGATTTTTCAACCGGAAAATCCTCTTAAATTATCGATTTTGCAGTTACTCTTGGGATATCGTCTCATATTTGGGCTTTACAGTAAGCTTAATAAAGACGCGAGATATAAAAAAAATATCTATGTTAATCTTCTTAGTCTTCCGGTGAGAGTCAGACCAGCTCGATTGAGGTATCGTCTCGCATTTGGGCTTCACAATAAGCTTATTAAAGACGCAAAATAGCGAAATGTAAAAAAATATCAATGTGTATCTTCTCAGTCTTCCGGCGAGAGCCAGACTAGCTCGATGGACCCGCAACTAGAGCGACAGGTCGAGACCATCCGCAACCTCGTCGACAGTTACATGCGCATAGTGACGAAGACAACGCGAGACTTGGTGCCGAAAACGATCATGTACATGATCATCAACGACACGAAGGACTTCATCAACGGCGAATTGTTGGCGCACATATACGCCAGCGGTGACCAGGCGCAGATGATGGAGGAGGCGCCCGAGGAGGCGCAGAAGCGGGAGGAGATGCTCAGGTAGGCGGGACGGGGGGAACACTCAAACTACAAGGTGCGTTCGGTTTTTGATAATCGGAGCCGATCGGTCAGATACAGATTTGGTATCACTTGATCACCTAGCCACAAAGCAAGTGGTAATTCTGATTTGTTTTAGGAAAACAACATAATTTGTTTTCCAAAATCGAAGGATATCAGTGGCAACTCGTGATCCTTTCAACAGGGGAGACTGAATGGTAAGTGGAAATGTCAAATTCTACGAAAAAACTAACGACATAAGCAGCTTCTTGTTCATAGAAAATATGTAAGAGGCACTGATATGTTCTGTTATTCCCAATTCGATGGAAAGGTGACATTTTACATCTGACCTCTCCCACAGCGTTCGTTAATATCAATCCGCTCTATTAGCTAGCTCACAGTATATTATCTTTTCACGTGAACTACGAAATAGCCACAATGCTCAAAGTGGAATGAAATGTTAAATAAATACAAATTTTTTTAAAGGAGATTTTATCGCATTACCTAGTCATGGAACGAATAGGTACCGTCAAACATGGGGTTGAGTGAACCATAGTGGATAAAATGAATCAGTCGGGTGTTTCAGTACAAAAGAGGGCGCTGTTTTGCTTCAGCTGCAAGATTGAAACGTTTTCGCGTCTCAGTAGTCTCGCCAGTACGTCTGAGTATGTGGAGGAGGGTGTTTCTCCGTGCTTAAAGAAGCACAAGAGTATCATGAACACACTTGACCCTCTAACAGATTTCGCTATTTTCACAAAACTGTTTAAAAGATTGATTGTGGATGCACTAACTTTATAATTTGTTCAATGGTTATTACTGAACAAACATTTGATGAAAGTTTTTTCCAAATGTTTTTAGTTGAATTTCAGCATTTTTTTACTTTGAAGTGGTCATATGGCTATAATGGGTAAAATTAATCACTTTAATGTCTATGAAAGTGAGTTTATATTTTCTTCTCTTCAAAATAGAAATAAAAACTCAATTTTATTAAACAGTTTCAAAAATGAACCCACTTACACCATTTCTGTATTTTTTTGACGTAAGTATTAGTGATTGTTGTTATTTGGTCCGATGGCCATTGAAAATATGGCAATATCAGCGCCTCTTACGGATTTTCTATGAACAAGAACCTTATGAATGTCAGCCTAGTTACTTTAGCAATAAAGTTCAGCAATATTTTTTATTTTTTCCGTTACGCATTCTGCGATAACAATTTTCCAGTATGTTTATTGAGGATACTCAAGGAAGAAATGTACTAATTGAAACAGATTTTCCGGATGTCCAGGGCCGGACAGGGGCCAGCAATATTTTATAACTTTCTTATTAGGGATCCTGCCACTTACATATTTCAGTATGTTATTCAGAAAGACAAAACGAAGAAATGTACAGTATCAGAATATTTATTCCGGGCGTCCAGGGCCGGACAGGGGCCAGCAATATTTTATAACTTTCTTATTAGGGATCCTGCCACTTACATATTTCAGTATGTTATTCAGAAAGACAAAACGAAGAAATGTACAGTATCAGAATATTTAATCCGGGCGTCCAGGGCCGGACAGGGGCCAGCAATATTTTATAACTTTCTTATTAGGGATCCTGCCACTTACATATTTCAGTATGTTATTCAGAAAGACAAAACGAATAAATGTACTGTATCAGAATATTTAATCCGGGCGTCCAGGGCCGGACAGGGGCCAGCAATATTTTATAACTTTCTTATTAGGGATCCTGCCACTTAAATATTTCAGTATGTCATTCAGAAAGACAAAACGAGGAAATGTACAGTATCAGAATATTTAATCCGGGCGTCCAGGGCCGGACAGGGGCCAGCAATATTTTATAACTTTCTTATTAGGGATCCTGCCACTTACATATTTCAGTATGTTATTCAGAAAGACAAAACGAAGAAATGTACAGTATCAGAATATTTAATCCGGGCGTCCAGGGCCGGACAGGGGCCAGCAATATTTTATAACTTTCTTATTAGGGATCCTGCCACTTACATATTTCAGTTTGTTATTCAGAAAGACAAAACGAAGAAATGTACAGTATCAGAATATTTAATCCGGGCGTCCAGGGCCGGACAGGGGCCAGCAATATTTTATAACTTTCTTATTAGGGATCCTGCCACTTACATATTTCAGTATGTCATTCAGAAAGACAAAACGAGGAAATGTACAGTATCAGAATATTTAATCCGGGCGTCCAGGGCCGGACAGGGGCCAGCAATATTTTATAACTTTCTTATTAGGGATCCTGCCACTTACATATTTCAGTATGTTATTCAGAAAGATAAAACGAAGAAATGTTCAGTATCAGAATATTTAATCCGGGCGTCCAGAGCCGGACAGGGGCCAGCAATATTTTATAACTTTCTTATTAGGGATCCTGCCACTTACATATTTCAGTATGTCATTCAGAAAGACAAAACGAGGAAATTTACAGTATCAGAATATTTAATCCGGGCGTCCAGGGCCGGACAGGGGCCAGCAATATTTTATAACTTTCTTATTAGGGATCCTGCCACTTACATATTTCAGTTTTTTATTCAGAAAGACAAAACGAAGAAATGTACAGTATCAGAATATTTAATCCGGGCGTCCAGGGCCGGACAGGGGCCAGCAATATTTTATAACTTTCTTATAAGAGATCCTGCCACTTACATATTTCAGTATGTCATTCAGAAAGACAAAACGAAGAAATGTACAGTATCAGAATATTTAATCCGGGCGTCCAGGGCCGGACAGGGGCCAGCAATATTTTATAACTTTCTTATTAGGGATCCTGCCACTTACATATTTCAGTTTTTTATTCAGAAAGACAAAACGAAGAAATGTACAGTATCAGAATATTTAATCCGGGCGTCCAGGGCCGGACAGGGGCCAGAAATATTTTATAACTTTCTTATAAGAGATCCTGCCACTTACATATTTCAGTATGTTATTCAGAAAGACAAAACGAAGAAATGTACAGTATCAGAATATTTGATCCGGGCGTCCAGGGCCGGACAGGGGCCAGCAATATTTTATAACTTTCTTATTAGGGATCCTGCCACTTACATATTTCAGTATGTTATTCAGAAAGACAAAACGAAGAAATGTACAGTATCAGAATATTTGATCCGGGCGTCCAGGGCCGGACAGGGGCCAGCAATATTTTATAACTTTCTTATTAGGGATCCTGCCACTTACATATTTCAGTATGTTATTCAGAAAGACAAAACGAAGAAATGTACAGTATCAGAATATTTATTCCGGGCGTCCAGGGCCGGACAGGGGCCAGCAATATTTTATAACTTTCTTATTAGGGATCCTGCCACTTACATATTTCAGTATGTTATTCAGAAAGACAAAACGAACAAATGTACAGTATCAGAATATTTAATCCGGGCGTCCAGGGCCGGACAGGGGCCAGCAATATTTTATAACTTTCTTATTAGGGATCCTGCCACTTACATATTTCAGTTTGTTATTCAGAAAGACAAAACGAAGAAATGTACAGTATCAGAATATTTAATCCGGGCGTCCAGGGCCGGACAGGGGCCAGCAATATTTTATAACTGTCTTATTAGGGATCCTGCCACTTACATATTTCAGTATGTCATTCAGAAAGACAAAACGAGGAAATGTACAGTATCAGAATATTTAATCCGGGCGTCCAGGGCCGGACAGGGGCCAGCAATATTTTATAACTTTCTTATTAGGGATCCTGCCACTTACATATTTCAGTATGTTATTCAGAAAGATAAAACGAAGAAATGTTCAGTATCAGAATATTTAATCCGGGCGTCCAGAGCCGGACAGGGGCCAGCAATATTTTATAACTTTCTTATTAGGGATCCTGCCACTTACATATTTCAGTATGTCATTCAGAAAGACAAAACGAGGAAATTTACAGTATCAGAATATTTAATCCGGGCGTCCAGGGCCGGACAGGGGCCAGCAATATTTTATAACTTTCTTATTAGGGATCCTGCCACTTACATATTTCAGTTTTTTATTCAGAAAGACAAAACGAAGAAATGTACAGTATCAGAATATTTAATCCGGGCGTCCAGGGCCGGACAGGGGCCAGCAATATTTCATAACTTTCTTATAAGAGATCCTGCCACTTACATATTTCAGTATGTCATTCAGAAAGACAAAACGAGGAAATTTACAGTATCAGAATATTTAATCCGGGCGTCCAGGGCCGGACAGGGGCCAGCAATATTTTATAACTTTCTTATTAGGGATCCTGCCACTTACATATTTCAGTTTTTTATTCAGAAAGACAAAACGAAGAAATGTACAGTATCAGAATATTTAATCCGGGCGTCCAGGGCCGGACAGGGGCCAGCAATATTTCATAACTTTCCTATAAGAGATCCTGCCACTTACATATTTCAGTATGTCATTCAGAAAGACAAAACGAAGAAATGTACAGTATCAGAATATTCAATCCGGGCGTCCAGGGCCGGACAGGGGCCAGCAATATTTCATAACTTTCTTATTAGGGATCCTGCCACTTACATATTTCAGTTTTTTATTCAGAAAGACAAAACGAAGAAATGTACAGTATCAGAATATTTAATCCGGGCGTCCAGGGCCGGACAGGGGCCAGCAATATTTTATAACTTTCTTATAAGAGATCCTGCCACTTACATATTTCAGTATGTCATTCAGAAAGACAAAACGAAGAAATGTACAGTATCAGAATATTTGATCCGGGCGTCCAGGGCCGGACAGGGGCCAGCAATATTTTATAACTTTCTTATTAGGGATCCTGCCACTTACATATTTCAGTTTTTTATTCAGAAAGACAAAACGAAGAAATATACAGTATCAGAATATTTAATCCGGGCGTCCAGGGCCGGACAGGGGCCAGCAATATTTTATAACTTTCTTATTAGGGATCCTGCCACTTACATATTTCAGTATGTTATTCAGAAAGACAAAACGAAGAAATGTACAGTATCAGAATATTTAATCCGGGCGTCCAGAGCCGGACAGGGGCCAGCAATA